TGTCTTTTCCAGCAAAATTGTTAATGGTTGTTATCTGGTGTATCTTATATACAGTTATCTCTAAGGTCTACCCTACATCTTTGTTTTACTGTCTCCTAATACTTGAGTCTCTAATACGAAAAGAGCAGCAACACTCTTGATTTCTTGTTTGATTGGTCAGTGATTCTCCCATTGTTTTTGTTGTCTTACTGGCAACTTGGTGTCTTTTTAAAGTGTCAAGTCACCCTAAATCAGCTCCTCAGGTAATCTTTGGGCATCCCTTTGCTGTACATCTCCAAATAAATAGATATGAGTCAATAAGCATTGCTTAGAACCATGCCAGTTTGACTTGCATTTATTGAGTACCTCATGTGTCCTAGGTACTGTGCTATGTCATATAGCATTAAATAAGGCAGACATGAGTCTTGTCCCCAAAACTTAAAATCTACTTGGCAAGCCAGAAAATTAAACAATTACTTACAATAAAGACAAGAATGATGAGAGAGCATACAGTAGACCTATTCTAGTCTGGGGAATGGGATTAGGATGCTTCAATTTTTTGGTAATCCTGATATCATTTCTTTTCAAATTAGCTTTCTGGAGGTATTTTTACATGTAATAAAACTCATGTACTTTAAGTGTACTATGTATTGTGACAAATATGTACAGTCATGTAACACTACCACGATCAAGATAAGTTTCGTCATCCCTAAATTCCCTCATGCCCCTTTGCAGACAATTGCGTCCTCTCCCAATCATCTCCAATCTCGGATAATCCCTTGTCTGTTTTCTATTACTAAAAGGTTGCCTTTCCTACAATTTCATATATTTGACACACGTAATATGTGGTCTTTTGTGTATGGCTTCTTTCATTTAGCTTAATGCTTTTGAGATTCATCCATGTATCAATAGCTTGTTTCTTTTTATTGGTGAGTAGTATTCCAATATATAGATATACTCTAATTTGTTTATTAATTCACCAGTTGATAGATTTTTGATGGTTTCCAGTTTGTGGCTAGTACAAATAAAGCTTTTATGAATATTTGTTTATAAGTCTTTGTTGATACACATATTTTTATTTTCTCTTGGGTAAAACACCTTGGAATGTAATTACTGAATTGTAGGGTATAAGACATTGCTAAGTTATTTTCTAAAATGTCTGTAGCATTTTGTGTTCTCACTAGCAAAGTATGAGAGTCACAGTTGCTTCCTATCTGCACCAACACTTGTTATAGTTGTTCTTTTTTATTTTGGCTATTCTAATAGGTATTTAATGTTACCTTTCTGTGTTTTGATTTGCATTTCCTTGATACTAATGATATTCCTCATCTTGTGTGCTTAATTGCCATCCGCATCTCTTATTTGGTGAAGTAGCTGTTCAAATATTTTGCCCATTTTATTTTATTTTTAAAATACGTTTTTATTGATTTTTTTTTTAATCCGAGGTACATGCCCTTAGTGGGAACCGAACCCAGGTCTCTCCAGACTGCAGGCCAACGCTCTAACCGCTGAGCCAAACTGGCCAGGGCTTTATTGATTTTTTTAGAGAGAGAAACATTGATGTGAGAGAGAAACATCGATTGGCTGCCTCCTGCATGCCTCCTACTGGGGATGGAGCCCATAGCCCAGGCATGTGCCCTGACCAGCAATCAAACCAGGACCTCTCAGTCGATGGGATGATCATTCCACTGAGCCACACTGGCTGGGCTGTTTTGCCCACTTTAAAATTTGGGTTGTTTGCTTTCTTTTTCTTTTTTTGAGTTTAAAGGGTTCTTTATATATATCCCAGGTAAAAGTCCTTTATCAGATATTTGTTTTGCAAATATTTTCTCCCAGGCTCTGGCTTGACTTTTTATTTTGCGGACAGTGTCTTTTCAAGACCAAAAGTTTTAATTCTAGTGAAGTTCAATTTGTTAATTTTTTTGGTTCCTGAATTTTGTGTCCTATCGAGGTTACAAAGATTTTCTTCTATATTTTTGTTTATAAGTTTTATAGTTTTAGCTTTTAGATTAATCTGACCTGATTTTTATATACACCTCTGATATTACTAAAATTGTTCAAAAAGAATTGTCATGGAAAACCAGAGTGAAATTATTCAGTTTCTCAGACACATCATCATTCCTTTGGCCTAGGTTTGAAGTGGCATTTTAGGGAATGTTGTATCTCACTTACTTACCATATGGTAACTTTCTTGATTTAGATTCTTACTTGTCGTCAACAAGAAAGCAAGACCAATGTGACCTGTCAAGGTTCAGTGATTAGCTCCTCATTTGGAACGTGCTTTCTCTTTATGAGAAGTAAAGGGAGGGAAACATGTAAGTTGACACCACTCCTGGCTCTAGACCAAAACTTTGTGTGCCTCTGCCCTTTTACAAGAGATTGGATTTTCATTCTTTTTTTTACCCTCACTCGAGGACACCTTCGCATTTATCTTCAGATAGAGCAGGAGGGAGAGAGGGAGGAAGAGAGAGAGAGAGAGAAACATCAATGTGTGACCCGGCCAGCAGGTCGATCAACGAGGACTCTAGAGGGGGAGTGAGGATGAGGAGGGACAAGAGACACGAGAAATGGAGACAAGACAGGATTCTGATCAAGTCTCCTTTATTCAGGGGGAGTTCACATAATATATAGGGGAAAAACAGGTGAAACAGTTAATGAGTATCCCACCTGAAGCAAATTCCAGTAAATACCCCAGGTGGAACAAATAAGCAAAGAATGGAGTAAACAATTATCTAGAGGAATGCAGGCACTGCACGCAGAGAGACCCCGCCCCGGGGCCGGAGACAGCAGAGCAGACTTTAACAAGATGGATGCCATGCAAATGGTCTCCTACAAATGTGAGAGAGACACATCGAGTGGTTGCCACCCGCATGACCCAACCAGGGCCGGGGACAAACTGCAACCGAGGTACGTGGCCTTAGTGGAAACCGAACCTGGGTCTCTCTGGACCGCAGGCTGATGCTCTAACCGCTGGGCCAAACCGACCAGAGCTGGAACAGTCTCTTTTCTATTTCTTCTAGGACACAACACTGTCTTGACTTTGTTCTTGGTCGTCCTGTTCCTTCCTGTGGGCAGGAGACCACAGGCTCACACTGCTGCTTGGGTGCCCTCGTCTGCTTCTCCAGCTTTCTTTTTTTTTTCTTTTGGTACGTGCCCCTAGCGAGAACCAAACCTGGGACTCTCTGGTCCACAAGCCGATGCTCCAACCGCTGAGCCAAACCGGCCAGGGCTCTCCAGCTTTCTTGAACTGAGCTCCCATGTCACCAGCTCCTGTTGGCTGTCTGAGCATCACCTTAGATCAGCAGATGTCATTTCTCATGTGGGCTACGGAGATGGTATCCCAATCTAAATGTATCCTTTCAGGGTCTTAGTTTGGTTGACTCCACCTATACTGAAGCCAGATTACTTCTCTCGGACTCGTACCCTCCAGGCTTCAGCGTGGGGGAGGCAGCTTGAAAGGCACCAGAGACAGACAGGGAAGAACTGAGTTATTTGACATCAGGGTGAGAGTTGGAGAGGCAGCAACACATGGACGTGCTGGCGGAAGCCCTTGTTCCTTTGCTGAGCCCTTCCCTATCAGGGTGGGCAGCCTGGGACTGTTTTCTTTTAAAGCCATGTCAGTATCCCCAAGGCTTAGCACAGTGCCTGGCATACAATAAGGAATGAAAGACAAAGAGAGAAGGGCAAGGACGTTTGTACAAAATCCCAAACACCACCATTTATGACTTTGAGCAGGGAAACTGGACAGCCTTTAGGGGTAACATGGTGAATGTACTGGCCTGCTCTTATCACCTTGTCCTGACTAAATAAACAAAAGGCCAACTATGAAGCTTTCAGAGGCAAACCGAGAAAGTACCTGGTACTAGTACTCCTCTAAGTGGATTTGTCCTCTAAGCGAATTTGTTAGTTTTTAGAACTTAGAAAGTAGAACGAATAGCAGGATGAATAGCAGGACAGATGTATGACCCAGTTCACCCAGTTCCCTTCCGCCTCAGCTCCCTCCACCTCCGTTCCCTCCTGTTTATTGCTGCCTCCGCTTCTGTACTTGCTTGCTGGCTCTCCCCCGAGGCCAAGAAATGCCAGTTGCAGAAGTTTGTAACAAGCCCCCTATAAAATAAAAAAGTAGCTGAAAGTCGGGGCAGAGCTCCGAGAACTCAAGATCTGTTGCCCGCCGGCTTTGCTCTCTATTTGGCTTTAATTTGGCTCTGGTGGTCTCTCGGTTCTCTCACATCAGAACAGTGAAAAATATTGGGGATGCAATGCCAATTCCTCCTAGGTAACACCGCCACCTCTGGGCTAGGTCCCTTACTTTGAATCTTGTGGGCCTGCATGGACTCACTCTTCCCTGGTAGGCGAGTGTCTAGAAGACTGAAACCCAGAGTCTGGAGGACTTAGGGGGCTCAGTCGAACCTACTCCCTCCAAACACGTGAGCCCTGGTTGCCTAGCAACTGGGTCGATGCTTCGGCGCTCGATTGGATCTGGCCAGACTGAGACGCAGGGCCCGTTCCGGCCCCTGACCTGCGGTGCGCACGCGCCGAAGGTGCTCGGCTGCGGGAGGGGCGAGCTGGAGCGTGGTCGCGGCTTGCGGGCCGCGGCGGGGAGGGGCGCACGCACGAGGGGCGGAGCGGCGGGCGCCCAGAGTGGCTGAAGAGCCGGAAGCACGCCTCGGAGGGTGCGGCCCTGAGGAGACTGCGGGTTGGGGCGGGCGGGAAACGTTAGGCGGGCGGCCCCTGGGGCGCAGGGGTCGAGTGGGCGGGGAGGGTCCGAACGCTTCCCGGATGAGGAACAAAGCGGCGGGGCAGGCGCGCGCGCCCCCCGTGCGGCCGGCAGGTGGGCTGCGCGCGGCTCTGGCCGGGGCGGGGCGAGGCGAGGGCGGCCTGCGGGCCCCTTGCCTGTGGGCGGGCGAGTTGGGCGCCCTTGGGAGGCGGCGGCCCCAGGCCTGGGCTCTCGGGCGGCAACGGGAGGAGACTGCCTTCTGCCCGTGTTGTGGTGACCGCCCTTGCCCTCCCCCGTAGGTGGGGCAGCCCCCCTCCCGAAGCCTCTGGAGGAAAAGCCCCGGGCGTCCCCCGGCATGTCCCATCTCGCGGCGGGGTGCGCGGCCGCCGGCCCTTGGGAGAAGTGGGGCGGCCCGGGGCGGCCCCGGGGACGAGCGGCCGCGGTTGTGCAGCGGTTGTAAGCAAGATGCGGTAGCACGTGACCTGGAACGCGAACCCTGATGCCGGTTCCCCGCCACGCGTGTGCTCTTTTCTCTGGTGCTCGGCCGAAAGCTCATGCGTCGCAGGTGAGTCGGGGGTGGGCGCACAGCTGGTGACGTCCCTGCAAACACCTGGCACGGGAGGGTGCGCAGTGCCTTTGTTTTGGGTGCCACTGGGAGGGTTACGGGTGCGATTTGCAAGTGGATTCGTGTCCCAAAGCATCAGTGATTCCAGAAACCAGTATTCGGTTGAATGTATTCTCATTCAGCCTAATTTACTTCACATATGAATAATTGTCGCAGGTACATCTGTTGTTTGCTCGTTGACACGTTTATCCTATGCTTTTGAGTTATTTGAGCGTTCAACAATGTCTTTGGGTTCCAAAGTGTAGTTTTAGTTCATCACCATGTGCATCACTTTGAATTTTTGCTCATTACTGTCTGAGGTGGTAAAGTGGAGAAATTAAGTTCTTAATTCTAAAAACTTCATGCTGGTGTTTAAAGTTAGGTACTTTGGGGCACCCACCATGTTGGTACAGTGCAGAAATAGTTATATTTGGCTGGTCTTTTAGAGCCCTTTCATAGGCCGTATTTGGGGATACAGAAAATAAAACAAATTTATTGAAATTACTGAAACTGTCCGTTGCATTTTGCAAAGTGACTGCATTTCAGTTAGCTGCTTATATGTCATTCTAAGTATAGTTATAAGATCAGCAAGTGGCAAATGGTTCATATATAGGTCAGTTAGAGACACACAGCCGTGGAGGTATGAAGGAAATTATTTTATAAGGCACTGAGTAGGGAAGAAGAGAGTGCTTGGTGTCTTGATTCTGGCCCTTTTCCCAAGATTGCTTCCTAGAATCCCATATGAGAAAGGTTGTTAGAACAGAATTGCACTTTAGAATGAGAGTCTTATGAGGGTCACATTATAAATTCCCCTCATCTCCTTTCTCTCTCTGGGATACTAGTTACCTTTGGTTTATGGCTGCTGAGGTCATCACATTTTAGTGACTCACAACAGCAGAAATCTGCTGAGCCTCTCACATTAAACTCTGGTTTGAACTGGTGTGAGAAGGCCTAGAAGTCATCCTAGAAACACCACTTCGATTTTTATCTCAAGATTAGTACACAGATTAATGTTCAGGAATTTCCAGACTGGGATTCGAAGCAAAAGACTTTTATTTGTACTTTAAAATATTATTGTAACCAATTTGTTGTAGGTCATGATTGCTCCAGTGATTGAGTTTTTTTATTTTTTTTATTTTTTTATCCTCATCCGAGGACATTTTTCCATTTTTTACTCAGATAGAGCGGGAAGGAGAGAGAGGAAGAGAGAGAAACATCGACGTGAAAGGGACACATCGAGTGGCCGCCACCCACACGAACCAACCAGGGCCGGGGACAAACTGCAGCCAAGGTACATGCCCTTAGCGGGAACCGAACCCGGGTCTCTTCAGACCGCAGGCCGATGCTCTAACCGCTGAGCCAAACCAGCCAGGGCTCCAGTGATTGAGTTTTAACTAAAAACCCTAGCGATAAAAATTTACAGAAATGTCTGTTTTAAACCAACCCAAGCCCAGAAACTTTCAGAATTAAGGTAGCTATGATTTATTTAGTTGATAAGGATTTTTTTTTCACTTTTTATAGTGTAATTACTGTTATAAAGGTGCTGTGCTTCATCAGGTGACCTCATTTGTCGTGTGCTTCTAGTTGTCTTTCTAGTAGGATGAGCTTACACTTCTCCATTCAATCTCCATCATTTAAGAGCGCATGCTCCATACAAGGTACTGTACTCCGTTGGCTTTGTGTACTTTATTAGTGTCTGGGAGCTCAGTTTTATGAGATACCTGGCAGGGATAAGGTTGAAGCAGATGGATATAGAGTAGTGCAGGAATAGATCTGTGTAGGACTTTAAGCATACCCCACTATGTAAAGACACAGATCCTAATGTATTGGAACTGTGTGAAAGACAAAATGTTTTTTTTTTTATTATAACTGTTTTTCAGTTTTAGTTAAGAGGTTGGTTTTATTAAATAGGCAGATCTGGATATAAATTCCATTTGCCACTTGTGTTATCTTGGGTTAAGTTTCTTAGAGTCTCTGAGTCTCAGTTTTTGTTTCTAAAATGGGATTAAGAATAATACTACCTAGTTAGAAGGATTAGGTGTATTAATTACATGTAAATCACTTAGCCCTTCACCTAATACATACAGAATGAGAGTAATAAGTGTTAGCTGTTGTTATTTTCAGGTTGATTGATAGCTGATCTTGACGTTGTTCAGAAGTAAAAGCCTATTTAGATTTGCTTTCATGGCTAAGGAATATGTAGACCCATTTCCTCACCCCTCCCATGCACACAGGCAGACGCAGAAGAATATGCATTACTGTGATACTATAAGGACTGAAGGTCATTAGTGACCTCCTTTGGATAACCTATTGGCTAGTTTCCTGAAATACAGTATTTTTAATATTACAGTCTGATATAGGAACTAATACTTATTGATAATGTCCAATATAGTGTCTTGTTCAAATCAGTATTAATCTTATTTTAATGACATTGTTAATGGCAGTACAACATGGATTGCATGAATTATCAGATTCTTTTTTTTTTTATCCTCACCCGAGGACATTTTTCCCCTTTTGTTCTGGTAGAGTGGGAGGGAGAGACAGGAACAGAGAGAGAGAGAGAGAGAAACATCGATGTGAAAGGGACTCATCGAGTGGCTGCCACCCGCACAACCAACCAACCAGGGCCGGGGACAAACTGCAACCGAGGTATGCGCCCTTAGCGGGAACCGAACCCAGGCCTCTTGGGACCGCAGGTCGACGCTCTAACTGCTGAGCCAAACTGGCCAGGGCAAATTATCAGATTCTTATGCCTACCAAAAAGTCTATAGATAAAAAAAAAAGTTGGTGTATTGAAAAATGTTTTAGCATTATTTTGCAGCATAATCTGTGCTCTTCCACTTAATTCCCCCTTTCTCCCTCATGCTCTATCTGAAGATAAATGCAAAAATGTCTTCAGGTGAGGATAAAAAAAAAAAAAGGCCTGGTTTAAAGTAATAAGCCGATTGATGAAAACAAATCTTTTGTAAGAAAAAACTTGGGTGATTTTTAAAAAACAAGCCAACCCTCATTGTCAGTGTGCTCTAAGGGTTGCAGACTTTGCCTTAGATAATGTGCATAGGGTTTGAAACAAGGCACAATCCTGTTTCTGCTGTATGACATTGACTGAGTTAGTCACCATCTCTGAATCCCAGTTTCCTTACCAATGGAAAGAATATGACACTAGCTATCTCAGAGCTGTGAGCGTAAAAAGGAAATAATTGGTCAAGTCCCATTTCCCCATCCCCATTTCAGGTTCTTGAGTACCTTAAACAGTCACTGAGCTAATTGTTTGCATAACTGGTTTTGTGTGCTCTTTCTTAGGATGAATGATATGAACCTGAGCCCAGTGGGGATGGAGCAGCTGACTTCATCCTCTGTGAGCAATGCCTTGCCAGTCTCAGGGAGTCACCTGGGGTTGGCTGCCTCACCCACTCACAATGCCATCCCTGCCCCAGGTGAGTGGTAAGGGACAGTGACTGAATTTTAACAATTACTGCATTATCAATTTTAAATAGAGCCCAGAGGGGGTCAGAGCCCTTTTAAGAGTAGAAGGGAGAAGCCAGGCATGAATGGTAGTTCCAGATGTGGTCGCACAATGGAAGAAAACATTTTTGTGTAGAGTATTGGAGTTCTGGTGAATAAGAGTAGCAGTTTTTTCTGACAGTCCTCTTCTTCACTTGGTGGCCTTTTGTCTAGAACTGTAATTGACTTGCATTTTATCTAAGGTTACCTATTTATCTTGGCACACTGTCCCTGACTTAATAGAAGAGAATCAAAGTTACTTTAATAAATGTTCTTAGAGAGCATGAGAAATTGAGCTTTATTTTCTACTACATCTGAAATTGGCAACTACAAATATGCCAGGTCTGGAATGATGGGGAAAGAGGAGGCACCGGAGATGGAGCTCCTAAGTGGAATTCCCCATGGGCCTCAATACTCGGAGAGAAGAATAGTGTAGGAGAAGCTCCTTTCTCCCTATCACTATACTTTTAAAACCTTTTTTATCTGCCTAGTTTAATTTTCTTTTTCTCTTGAAATAAGTAAGCTAGTGGATCCTAAGGATCTACGACATTGTAATGTATTGGACATTCTTTATCAAAATAGTAGTTAATGTTTAAGAGTATTTTAATCTATAAGTTGTTTAAATAGTTCTCTATAGAGAATTACCTGCTTAATTACTAAAATGCAGCAGTTAAATAAGTTTCATCATAACTAGGGCTCTTTACATTCCTTTAAGTGTCCATAAAAATTTTTTAAAAATTTATTAGTTGTTAGTCTATTTGATTGTCTCTTAGGCATTCCCTTTACTGGACACTCTTGTTAAGAAAGAAAGGTATTGCAAAATACTGCCACTGGCAAAAGTAATGCAAATCGGCACTGCCTGAGTTGGCGAGTATTCATTTTGATACTTAGGCACAGTAAGAGTCACTTCAACACTTTGCAGGTAGATATAATTCAAGATAGATATAACCTAACGGTTATATTCTTTTAATCATCAAGTAGAGCATATATGCAAAAGACTATATGAAAGTATGTATATACAGTTTTATATCTAACTTTAAAGTAGATTATGTTCCAAGTTAGAAGCATATCTAAATTTTTATATATATATATGTTTTTTATTTCTCACCCGAGGATATTCTTCTATTTATCATCAGAGAGAGTGAGAGGGAGGGAGGGAGGGAAAGAGAGGAAGAGAGAGAAACATCAATGTGAAGAGACACATCAACTGGTTGCCTCCTGCACGACCTGACCAGGGCCGGGATGAACCGCAACTGAGGTATGTGCTCTTGACCAGAATTGAACCCGCAATTCTTTGGTCCAAAGACCAACGCTCCAACCACTGAGCAAAACTGGCCAGGATGCATATCTGAATTTTTAAAAGTGAAACATTCTCACTGTATTATTATTTAAAAAAATTTTTTTTTTCTTTCTTGATTTTAGAGGGAGAGGAGGGGGGGAGAGAGAAGCATCAATGAGAGAGAACATTGATTGGCCACCTCTGGCATGCCTCCCACTGGGGATTTGGTCCACAACCTGGGCATGTACCCTGACTGGGAATTCAACCAGCAATGTCCTGGTGCATGGGTTGATGCTCAACCACTGCGCCACACTGGCTGGACCATTCTCACTCTGTTAAACTGGAAACTAATAAAGTAAAAATAATATTAAAAAAAAAAAAAAAAAAAGCCCTATAGTATCAGTATTCAGAGACCACTCCTGTGAACTCTGGTACGTTTCTTCCCATTTTTGTATCTATATCATTTGATTTCTTAAATTGTATTTAAACTAGGTTTTTGGTTGTAATTAAATGTTTGGTACTAAGATCAATACAGACAACTGGATGATCAATGTGGTATTTTAAAACTAACTTGACAATGAACTTGACAACCTGTTTGTGGATGTACTGATCGGGGATGTGATGGGCTACTCTGAGATTTTTTACTCATATGCAACAACCTTTCTAAGAGTTTAGCCAGTGACTGTAGAGAGGATTTTAAAGTACTTTTTATTTTATTTTATTTTACTTTTCAAGCATAGTTTATAAACATTTAGTATTATTTTGTATTACTTTCTGGTGTACAGCATGGTGGTTAAACGTGCTTATTTCCTTTTAATTGAGATAAGCGTGTGTGTATTTTTTTTTTTGTAGGCCTGCCAGTGGCAATTCCAAACCTGGGTCCCTCCCTGAGCTCTCTGCCATCTGCTTTATCTCTGATGCTCCCAATGGGTATTGGCGATCGAGGGGTGATGTGTGGATTACCCGAAAGAAACTACACCCTACCTCCACCACCTTACCCCCACCTGGAGAGCAGTTATTTCAGAACTATTCTACCTGGTAAGTGTTACTGTTCTTTGGGAGGTTAGAACAAAGACTAGGGAAGACTCTTAGTGCATGAAGGCTTGAATAATGCTATTTTGTTTGTCACGATGAGCTGTTAATACTAGGTTGGAAAAACTATCTGTTTTATACTTATGTGCTTTTCCTCTCAGAATGTACAGATAACACATTATTAATATAGTAGTTTGACTAAGCTTAATTTCCTAATGGCACATAATCAGTTTTTCTCCTGTCTCCTCTAGCATCTCCTTGGTTCAGTTTTTATAATTCTACACTTGTGATTCCTGCCAACCACATGTTCTGCTACAGTGTCACTGTTTATTAAAAAGTTTACTGAATTTTTATTGTTATAAAAGTATTATATACTCATTTTAGATAATTTAGCAAATAGAGGAACCATTCATAGTACCATCATCTATATTTTTGATGTATTTCCTTCCTGTCTTTTATTTTGGTGTATAGATTTTACTGTTTTTTTTTTGTAATTAAGACTATACTTCTTATATAATTATGTATCTTTTACGTAATATTTTTCTCTATTTTTATATAGCTGTTTTCCCCAACTGCTACATGGTTTTCTTAATGTCCTTTTTAATGATACATTACATTCTACTGAATAGATATTTCATAGTTTATTATATGTCTTTATTTTTTGACAGTTTGGTTTTTTCCATTTTTTAAATTACCATTATATGAACATCTTTGTGTATAGTATTTACAAAATGGCATTTAGGGAAGATTACCATAAGTGGAATGTAAGAGGGTATGAACGTTTTTGAGGTTCTTTAACATGTATCCTTTCCAAAGAGCTTTTAGTAATTTACACTCCTGCTGGCAGTGCAGCAGGTACCTTTCACTACATCCTCACAAGCACGAGTGTTCAAATATATTTTTTTCTGTTTTAATAAGGTACAGTAATGACTTGTTTTGATAGAGCCTAGTGTGTTATGATAGTTTAATAAGTTATATTTAATTAAATTTTATTTTTCACATGAAAGATCTTAAATTATTTACCTTTTATAGAGCAAATTTCAGCATCTTAGGACTCAGGAATTCCAATCCTGTATATATATAAAAGGTAGCATTTAAATGATTAGTTTCTAGTGACTTCAAAAGAACATAGTTAATTTTTAATGATTTCTGAGTTTCACAGGAAAAACTGAATTGTGGCATATGTATGTTGTTATTTATAAAGTATACATATTGATTAAACCAAAGAAGTAGCTGGGAGATTATTTTAATTATATTTTAAGCTTCTAGCTTTTGAAATTTTTAATTTTAAATTAAAAAATGTACTAAAAAGTCTCTGTTATCTCATCTTTTCCTCTTCCCAGGCATTTTATCTTATTTAGCTGACAGACCACCTCCTCAGTACATCCACCCCAACTCTATAAATGTTGATGGTAATACAGCATTATCTATCGCCAATAATCCTTCAGCACTAGATCCCTATCAGTCCAATGGAAATGTTGGATTAGAACAAGGCATTGTTTCAATAGACTCTCGCTCTGTGAACACACATGGTGCCCCAAGTCTTCATCCCAGTGATGGCCATGAGGTGGCCTTGGACACAACGATCACTATGGAGAATGTCTCTAGGGTTACCAGCCCCATCTCTACAGATGGAATGGCAGAAGAGCTTACAATGGACGGTGTTGCAGGCGAGCATTCTCAAATCCCGAATGGCTCCAGAAGTCATGAACCTCTGTCTGTGGATTCTGTGAGCAGCAACCTTGCAGCAGACACTGTAGGGCATGGTGGTGTGATACCCATTCATGGGAATGGCCTGGAGCTCCCTGTGGTCATGGAGGCAGACCACATTGCAAGTCGGGTCAATGGGATGTCTGACAGTGCCCTCAGTGACTCCATCCACACCGTGGCCATGAGCACCAACTCTGTAAGCGTGGCACTCTCTACCTCACACAACCTCGCCTCCCTAGAATCTGTTTCCCTCCATGAAGTTGGCCTAAGCCTAGAACCTGTGGCTGTCTCCTCCATCACCCAGGAGGTTGCTATGGGGACAGGTCATGTAGATGTGGCTTCAGACAGTCTTTCTTTTGTACCACCTTCACTGCAAATGGAAGACTCCAATTCAAACAAGGAAAATATGGCAACCTTGTTTACAATTTGTGAGTGTGCTTAGACTTTTTCTTTTGGAAATAGTGGTGGAAAGGGCCATCATCCCTAACAGGCATAGTCACAAAGTCAAGTGGTAAAGGAATATAGAAAGTAACTAGGCTTTGCAACTTTTCTTTGCCTTTGTAGTGTCCTTTATATTAATGTGGTGCCTTTTTGTCAAGCCAAATGATATATACATGTTTCATTGGTTCTTACAACATCCTCCCGAAGTAAGGAAGCAGTCATTCCTGTAATTTACAGATAAGCTTAGTGCAATAATATGTAAGGTATTTCGCAAGATTTCACAGATAGTTAACTATAGGAATAAACTTCAGTAAGGTATTTTGTGTGACATGCCTTATGCTCTTTCAACATAAGACAATATTTATTAGATCATGTGTACTTTTTTAACCCCATGGAGAAATGCAGGTGGATACAAATGCAATTTTGTTTTTGCTTAGAAGAATACATATAAATTACCATATAAAAGTTGTGTTATGGGGCAGTGAAAACAAAAAGCAGTATAAAAACAATTTGTTGGTGTCACTACATGATTCATTCATGCAAGAAACATGTTGATTGTTCATTATATACCAGCCTCTGCTAGATGCTGGGAAGAAAACGGTCTATAAGAGATAGCACATGCCTTTGGGGCGCTTGTAGTCGGATGGGAAGCATAGGCTAGTAAACAGGCTATTGTTGTACATGTGATAAGTGCGAAGATGGGATTAATTGCAAGGTGCTAAAGGAGCCTAAGTGGGGGGAACATCTAACCAGGGCATGGAAGAGTCAGGGAAAACTTACCAGGGAGGTAACATACGTGTTAGCTCAGACCTGAAGGATAAGAAAGATTTTGGCAGTTGAGAATCAGGGAGCTGGTTTCCCGTAAGTGCCTAGAACTAAAGAATTGTGAGTGGTTCAGAATTGCTGAAGCATAAAATGGGGGTGAGGAGAGGGGTATGTGATGAAAGAAGTAGGAGCCAGAACACTGAAGGTTTTAAGGAGTGAGGGTTGGGGTGGGGGATTCTGCAGTAATGTGAGGATAACTAGTTAGAGGCAAGTAGGTAAGGAAGATGATGCCATAATTTTAGAGAAAGGTGATTTTCCAACCTAGAGTAGAGGTAATAAGGATGAGGAAAAGTGGAGGATATTTACAAGAACCTGTTGAGTGGATGAAGTTAGGGGAAGGAAGAGTTTAGGAGAAAACCCTGGTTTTGGGCATGGAAAGCTGGGTGGATAATGGTACCCTCCTTAGGTTAATGATTGGTGGAGGAGGAATAGATGGTTTTTTTGAGGAGTGATGGTGAGACTAGTTTTAGACATGTTGATTTTAATGTTCATAAGATACCCAGTAGAGATGTCTAATGAGAAGTTGAATTTGGAGCTCAGAAATCTATCTGTCTGGAAATATGTAGGGATCTTCAGCATTAAGGTGGTAATCATGACGATGGAAGTGGGGTAAAGGCACCTGGTAAAAGTGGGAATGGCAGCAGGGCTGGGGTATTAAGCTACAGCAGCAGAGGAAAAGCTTCCACAGTAGACTGAACAGGAGGATCAAAAGGGTAGGGTGAAGCTTCTGGTGCTGCAGAAGCCAAGCAGTGGGGAGAGCTTTTCAGTCTCAAATTTATAGTTTTAAATATTTTCATCTGGGAATGTAATGTAGGCTCATTAATTTAGCCTATTGATCCCTTTTTAAGTGGGCACGCAGAATCTCTTGCTTCCACATGTGTTTTTAAAAAATGAGATATAGCCCTGGCCAGTTTGGCTCAGCGGTTAGAGCGTTGGCCTGCGGTCCAGAGAGGCCCGGGTTTGGTTCCCGCTAAGGGCACGAACCTCGGTTGCGGTTTGTCGTCGTCCCCCCACCCCCCCGCCCTGGTTGATCGTGCAGGTGGCAGCCACTCGATGTGTCCCTTTCACGTCGATGTTTCTCTCTTCTTTCCCTCCCACTCTATCTGAACAAAAAAAATGGAAAACTGTCCTCTGGTGAGGATAAAAAAAATGAGATATAATTCGCAGACACATTTTAAAATGTACAATTTAGTGGCTATAGTATATTGACAAGGTTGTGTAACCATTACCACCATCTAACTCCAAAACATTTACCCATGCTTAGGTAACCTCTAATCTACTTTCTGTCTCCATGGATTTACCTGTTCTTAACATTTCATATAAATGTAATCATACAATATGTGGCTTTCTGTGTCTGGCTCCTTTTCCTTAGCTTAATGTTGTCATGGCTTATCTCTACTGTGGCATGCATTAGTACTTCATTCTTTTTATATGAGTAGTAATCCATTGTATGCATATACCACATCTTATTGATCACTTACGGACATTTGTGTTGTTTCTCCTTTCTGGCTAATATGAATAATGCTTCTATGAACATTTATATACAGGGTGGGGCAAAAGTAGGTTTATAGTTTGTATGGAGAATAATACAATAATAAATAATAATACAAGAATAAACTAACTCTGTTTTGAGTACTCACAACTGTTAACCTACTTTGCCTCACCCTGTACAAGCTTTTGTTTTTTTTATTTTTATTTTTTTATCCTCACCTGAGGATACTTTTCCATTTTTTGTTCAGGTAGAGTGGGGGGGAGAGAGAGAGAGAAACATCGACGTGAAAGGGACACATCGAGTGGCTGCCACCCGCACAACCGACCAGGCCTGGGGACAAACCGCAACCGAGGTACATGCCCCTAGCGGGAACCGAACCCGGGTCTCTCCAGACCGCAGGCCGACGCTCTAACCGCTGAGCCAAACCGGCCAGGGCTGTACAAGCTTTTGAATGAACGTGTTTTAAATTCTCTTGGATATACAGGGTGGGGCAAAAATGGATATGCAGTTGTGAGTACAAGAAACAATTTATTCTTGTATTATTTATTAATTATTGTATTATTTTCCATAGAAACAACTGTAAACCTATTTTTGCCCCACCCGTATATCTAAAAGGAAAATTGCTGTATGTTCAACTTTTGGGGGGAATTGCCAGACTATTTTTCAGAGTGGCTGCCTCAATTTATATTTCCAGCATCAGTGTAGAAGGGTTCCAGTTTCTCCACATCTTTGCCAGCACTAATTTTCTTTTTTATTATAACCACCCTATTGGGTGTGAAGTGACATCTCATTGTTGTTTGATTTGCATTTCCCTAGTGACTAATGATGTTGAGTGCCGTTACATGTACTTACTGGCCATTTGCATATCTGTGAAGAAACTCTAAGCATTTTCTATATAAGGTGGTTCCCTTCTTTTTAAGAATCAATCCTCATCCAGAATAGGTGATCTCTAATCAGATATTCAGAGAAATTTTCCTTTATTGATTTGAGAGAGAGAGGAACATCAGGAAGAGAGAACATCGATTGGCTGCCTTCTGCATGCCCCCCACTGGGGATCGGGCCCACCTGGGCATGTGCCCTGACTGGGAATTGAACTGGTGACCTCTTGGTGCATGGGTTGACCCTCAACCACTGAGCCACACCAGCTGCGCTTCAGAGAATTTTTAATCAAGCAATAGTTGAAATATGTTATTGTTTTGGCCGAGTATGAAAACTTACTGATATTTTATGCCATTCAAGTAGAAATTTCTAACGGATTGCTTAGGAGAAAAAGACACTTGGATGGCTGTGGTTCTAAGGTGTATGGACTCCACTTATTTTGTGAATAAATTGAGAAAGTTTGGACTCAATCATTGGCTAATAGAATCATGAATACTATTCCTTCACAGAGAGAAAGAAAAGTAAGAGAATAGAGCAAAAGGTGCGTGGAGGAGGACACTCAGGAGCTTGTAGAAGTGAAGTTAGAGTAAGCATAGATAACAGTATGAAGGAAGCACCCTCTGTGACAGTGCAATAAGAAAGATTATATGAACAGTTAGAAATGAAGAATTTTTAGCAGATGTGTCTGTAAGAATGTATTCTGCCTGCTGTCCCAAAGAGCAGGCTGTAAATATTTTTTTGGCTTAAGGATCTGCCATCAAAATCTGGTTGACCAGTTTGTTTATAGTGAAGCAAAGAGAACAGGGGTGCCGCTGGCTCTCGTCTCTGTCTTGTATGACTAACAGCATTTCAACTCAGCTTGCTTTTATAGTTGGGTAGAATTGGAATCCAATTTTGGGCTTTAGAACATCATATTACTTATCTACTTAATTTTAGGAATAGTGTACAGTCGGCCCTCCATATCCACAGGTCCTGCATCTGCAGATTCAACCAACTGCAGATTGAAAATATTTTTAAGCCTGGCTGGTGTGGCTCAGTGGTTGAGTGTTGACCCATGCACCAAGAGGTCACTGGTTCGATTCCTGGTCAGGGCAAATGCCCAGGTTGGGGGCCAAATCCCCAGTGGGGGGCATGCAGGAGGCGGCCAGTTGATGTTCTCTCTCATCGATGTTTCTATCTCCCTCTCCCTCTCTCTCAAATCAATAAAGAAAAAAATAAATAAATAATTTAAAAATATTACATAATGATCCCTAAACCACACAGTATAACAAGTATTTACATAGCGTTTATATTGTATTAGGTATTATAAATAATCTAGAAATAATTTGAAGTATATGGTGGGATGTGTCCAGGGACAATAACTAATATTGATTTTTGAAGTAATATAGTGTTATTTTTTGAACAGTCTTCTCTTGTGCACTGAATAGGAAATTTGTCCGGTTGGATCAAAAGGAAAAAAAATCACATCTTGCTGAAAAGAGAGATAAGAGTTGTTACATATTTTAATGTAAGAGTAGTTCTTTCTTTTTTTTTTTATCCTCACCCGAGGACATTTTTCGATATTTTGTTCAGATAGAGTGGGAGGGAGGGAGAGAGAGAGAGAGAGAGAGAGAGAGAGAGAAACATCGACGTGAAGGGACACATCGAGTGGTCGCCACCCACACGACCCAACCAGGGCCGGGGACAAACTGCAACCGCGGTACGTGCCCTTAGCGGGAACCGAACCCGGGTCTCTCCAGACCGCAGGCCAACGCTCTAACCGCTGAGCCAAACCGGCCAGGGCTGTAAGAGTAGTTCTTTAATTAGCGCTGGTAACTTAGCTTGCTTGAAATAAACCCATTTGTGTTTCTCAAACTTTCCACCCGCAGGGTGCACACTGTGTGACCGAGCCTATCCCTCAGATTGCCCCGATCATGGACCAGTGACTTTTGTTCCTGACACTCCAATAGAGAGCAGAGCGAGGCTTTCTCTCCCAAAGCAGCTTGTACTCCGCCAGTCAATTGTGGGAGCAGAAGTTGGTAAGAACCAAGGAGTCATAGAACCCCAAGTCTCTTCTTTTTTTGTAAGATAGAGTTGTAAAAGTGGATGTGTATAACTTAGTGATTGTTTGGTTGATCCAAAAGTCAATTTATGGCTTATGATTTATCCTTTTAGGGAATATTTGTCTTGTCCAGTGGTGATAGGAATGAATCAGGTTGAAAACTTTATTGGAAATGTTCCCCTTTCTTAGAGTCAGACTTGAATAGAGGAAAGAATCCCGGCCTGTCTTTGAAGATTTCACTTTTATTCTTACTATAGCATCCACTAAGAATTACTGTGACAAAACACTCCTTAAAACTTCGTTCTTTTATGGAAACATGGAGAGTTTACCACTGATAACCATTTGTTACAGAAGATATTTAGATATAATGTTTGTAAATTGTCTTAGTACTCCCTAGGCAAAAGGAATAAGGAATGTAGACTTCTAGAGTATGCTTACCCACATTTGACTTCAACATGGTTTCTGAAGTACTGTGCCATTTATTTGAAAATATAAATCAAAGTTCTTTATTTTTTTCAGCTATAGCTTGGGTATGATGTCAATCGAAAGCATTAAACAGTCCTGGCTGGTTTTGCTCAGTGGTTAGAGCAGTGGTTCTCAACCTTCCTAATGCTGCGACCCATTAATACAATTCCTCATGTTGTATGTGGGTGTATCTGCATGTGGGCGAACCCGTCGGGAAATGGATAGAGGAGCAGTATCTCGGTTCCTAAGACCATCAGAAAAATGTGACTTTTGGATGTTTTTATTTTAATGTGATAGTTAAAAGTGATGTAAAAGTCAAAATTAGCCATGACACATACGTGCCACTCACCTGTCAGTCATTATTTAATATTATTAAAAAATGTGTTTTCTGATGGTCTTAGGCGACCCCTATGAAAGGATCGTTCCACCCCCAAAGGGGTTCGACCCACAGGTTGAGAACCGCTGGGTTAGAGCATCGGCTTGAGGACCGAAGGGTCGGTTCGATTTCCAGTCAAGGGCATGTACCTGGGTTGCAGGTTTGATTCTGGGCCCAGGTCGCACGGGAGGCCACCAATCGATGTATCTCTTTCACATCCATGTTTCTCTCTCCCTCCCTCCCTTCCACTCTATCTTAAAAAAATCAATAGAAAAATATCCTCGGGTGAGGACTAACAGCAACAACAGAAAGCATTAAACAGCTTAGATAATATAGAGCAGTGCTTTAAGCACAAACAATTTTAGTTTATTTTGTAGCATTGCTTTGTATTTTTATAATAGAATAATGTTTTCTAGTCTTTTATTGTAATAACTTCAAAATAACATATTTAGAGGGACACGGTTTGGTTCGTTGCGTATAAAACTTGTTGCAGGAATTTCTGATATAATGCTTATTACTCTGCATATTTCTTCTGAGCCTCACTTAATCTGTTCATTACATTTTTCATATTACAGGATATACCCATTAAGACTAGCTATCTCTCTGGAATATCAGTAGTTATTAAGTTCACTGAAAATGAGATTCTTTCTATGAGTTAAGCTACTCTGTCTTCTGTGTCCTCTGAGATGTTTAAATTGCTGATTGCGTAGTTGGTGTCCTTCCACTGACAGGTGTATGGACTGGAGAAACCATTCCTGTGCGGACTTGCTTTGGGCCTCTCATTGGCCAGCAAAGTCACTCCATGGAAGTAGCAGAATGGACAGACAAGGCAGTTAACCATATCTGGAAGGTCAGTGTTTATGAAACTTTTTTGTGACTTTTGGATGTTTTTATTTTAATGCGATAGTTAAAAGTGATGTAAAAGTCAAAATTAGCCATGACACATACGTGCCATTCACCTGTCAGTCATTTATTTAATATTATTACATCCTTTCTGTTCTTGGTAGCCAATTTAAATATGTTATATAAGAAAACACCAGCTATTGAATATAGAGGATAAATTGTTCTATTCTTCATTTAGTTAATCAAATGATTCTGCTTTTTAATTACTTGTGACAGCTGAGGCTGTGGACTTTGTTTATATGATGAAAGTTATTTTATAATCAAAACATTCCTCAAATATTTAGCATGGGAAACAGTTCTAGAATGAGAAGGTAAGATACTTCTCTAGTTTTCTAAAGGGAGGGCTGAAAACACAAGGTTTTGACATAACATGTCCTGTAACATGTTTATAATCGAATCTTGGTAGGTTGGGAATGATGCTTTAAAATTGAAGTGAGGGGAAAGCGAGTCTTGTGATAATTGGAAAGTAAGGTGCCACTGGCATTGGGGACTTCAGTTTTGGTATCCAAAAGGGAACATCGAAGAACGCTAGGTCCACTGGGAAAATCATGAGGATATGGTTCTCTGACCTTAATGTTCATTGTCATTCTGTGCCATGTGGCAGGTGATGAAAACAAATAGATTTTTTTTTTAAATCCTTACCCGAGGATATTTTTTCATTTATCTTCAGACAGAGTGGGAGGGAGGGAGAGAGAAAGAGAGAGAGACATCGATGTGAGAGAGACACGTTGGTTGCCTCCCATACAACCCCGACCAGAGCCAGGGATGAACCGCAACTGTGGTATGTGCCCTTGGCTGGAATCAAACCTGCGACTTTTTGGTCCGCAGGCTGATGCTCCAATCGCTGAGCCAAACCGGCCAGGGCAAAACAAAGAGACTTTTTTTTTTATTCTCACCTGAGGACACTTTTTCACTTTTTGTTCAGATATTGCGGGAGGGAGAGAGAGGAAGAGAGAGAGAGAGAGAAACATCAACGTGAAAGGCACACATCGAGTGGCTGTCACCCGCACGACCCAACCAGGGCCGGGGACAAACTGCAGCCAAAGTACATGCCCTTAGCGAGAACCGAACCCGGATCTCTCTGGACCGCAGGCTGACGCTCTAACCGCTGAGCCAAACCAGCCAGGGCACAAGTAGCCTTTTATTCTTATCTTTTCCAATCAAGCCAAAATGTGAGTAATCAAGAACACTGTCATTCCATACACTAAGTGCTAACTCTAGGTCTATGATAATCTTCGATTGAAATGACAAACATGTGCCCTGGTCAGTTTGGCTCAGCGGTTAGAGCATTGGCCTGCGGTCCAGAGAGACCCGGGTTTGGTTCCCGCTAAGAGCATATACCTCAGTTGCGGTTTGTCCCCGACCCTGATTGGTCATGCGAGTGGCAGCCACTTGATGTGTCCCTTTCATGTTGATGTTTCTCTCTCTCTCCCTCCCACTGTCTGAACAAAGAATGGAAAAATGTCCTTGGGTGAGGATAAAAAAAAGAAATGACAAACATGTGAGAAGGCAACCATGTATTTTCACACTGTCTAGGAAATAGGGATTGCAAACTAAATGAGATTACTAGCCTTAATTTAGTAGCGTTTTATACTGCTTGTCAGCTCATTTGACACGTATGTTTGCCTTCTGTTGGCAGATATACCACAACGGTGTTCTAGAATTCTGCATCATTACAACTGATGAAAATGAATGTAACTGGATGATGTTTGTGCGCAAAGCCAGGTAAGAGTAGTCTTGGCTAAGAGAAATTGTTGTGATTCAGATGGTTTTCAATAGGAAGCATTGTGTAAAATAGGAGTTGAAGAATACAAATTACACTAATATTCTGCATATACTTTAAGGCCTAAAGCTTTTTACCTTCTTCACTCCACTAGTTGTTGACTAATGGTAATTATAAATGAAAACACAAGAAACTATCCTTTTTTTTTTTTAAATCTTCACCCGAGGACATTTTTGCATTTATCTTCAGATAGAGCTGGAGGAGAGAGGGAGGAAGAGAGAGAGAGAAACATTGACATGAGAGAGACACATCCAGTGTTTGCCAACCACACATCTGCAACCGGGGCCAGGGACAAACTGCATCCGAGGTACGTGCCCTTAGTGGGAATCGAACTCGAGACTCTGGTCTGTGGGCTGTCGCTCTAACCACTGAACCAAACTAGCCTGGGTGAAACTATCCATTATTTTAATGATACTGTTACCATTGAATTTTCCAGTTGGTGCCTTCTCTTTATATTGACTGTTGTAGTTAATTCTTGTTCAGCTATTTATCTATGTGTCTTTGTCATATTGTTATTTTAAAGACAATTTATTTACCTTTTTTTGCTTTCAATAACAGTATAGTATTTGTAACTGTGAAGGGCATTAAACTGATGTACTGAAATAAGAATTCTGTGTCTATACACATCCCTCATAATAGGTAGGATATGGAATTAGAAAAAAGACCAGAGAAATTATATCTAAGTTTTCATAGAGGGTTTTGCTGTAGGGATATGATGTGTTTAGCATATATTTCAAAATTAATATGTTTGATCTATTAAATGTGATCATTTAGGAACCGGGAAGAGCAGAATTTGGTGGCTTATCCCCATGATGGAAAAATTTATTTCTGCACCTCACAAGATATCCCTCCTGAAAACGAACTACTTTTTTATTACAGCCGGGATTATGCTCAGCAGATTGGTAAGTTAATGTAAGACTTTTTTGTTATGAATCTAGCTCAGTAAAAACACCCAGGACCAAAAGTAAAGTTTTGATACTGATTTAAATATCAGCTGAAACAATCACAAAGCCTTTGTATATGTAAAGCAGGGCTTTACCCCTCTGTTAAAATGTTAAAATCTGTGAGGTTCTTCACAAGCTGAATGGTATTGACCATATGAAATGAACTTTTGTGTTAGGACTTTGGTTTGGGGAATTTGCAGTTCCTTAGACTGCTTTTTGAGCCTATACCATTTTCAATTCATAAAGGATCGCAAAACTCAAATTGATTTAGACTTCATGGGCTTTTTTTTTTTTAATATGTTTTTATTGTCCTGGCCAGTTTGGCTCAGTGGTTGGAGTGTCGGCTCACGGACCAAAGATTCTGGTTAAGGGCATGTACCTCATTTGCAGTTCGGTCCCCAGCCCTGGTTGGGGTCGAGTGGGAGGCAACCATTCGATGTGTGTCTCTCACATCAATGTTTCTCTTGCTCTCGCTCTCTCTGGAGATAAATGGAAAAATATCCTCAGGTGAGGATTAAAATATATATAAAATAAATAAATATGTTTTTATTGATTTTTTTTTTTTTTTTTTTAAAGAGGGATAGAAACATCAATCAGCTGCCTCCTGCACGCCCCCTACTGGGAATTGAGCCAGAAACCCAGGCATGTGCCCTGACTGGGAATCAAAAAGGGACCTCTCAGTCCATGAGACGATGCTCAGTCCACTGAGCCACACTGGCTGCGTCATGGGCTTTTTCTTTGCACTGTATTATGATACATGATGACAAGTGATGTTTGAGTTTGCTATAGAATCTTAATTTTTTTGCTTAGGAAATACACCTTATAGTCCAGTATTTTACTAAATGCTTCCTATGTTTCTGGCACCATTTGAGGCTGGGAATAGAACATTGAACAAGACATTTATAGGTAGTGGGCAAGATGGAAATTTTGGTAGAAGGGAAAAATTGTAAGCCAAAATTATTAATATCAATAATAAACTTTAAAATGTAAGTATCAGGAGATATTGAGTAATTTTTTTGTTTTGTTTTAAAGGGGTTCCTGAACACCCAGATGTTCACCTCTGTAATTGTGGCAAGGAGTGTAATTCGTATACAGAATTCAAAGCCCATCTGACCAGCCACATCCATAACCATCTTCCTAGCCAGGGCCACAGCAGCAGCCACAGGCCCAGCCACAGCAAAGAAAGGAAGTGGAAGTGCTCAATGTGCCCCCAAGCTTTTATCTCTCCTTCCAAACTTCATGTCCACTTTATGGGTCACATAGGTATGAAGCCCCATAAGTGTGATTTCTGTAGCAAGGCTTTTAGTGATCCCAGCAATCTGCGGACCCACCTCAAGATACATACAGGTAAGTTGTATTGGACCATCAGAGTGGAATTTTGCAACAATTAGAGATAGCAGTGGTAAAGGCTTTGTAGTGAGATAGTCTTGCAGGTAGAGTTGAGGTAAGATGTTAGAGCATGAATTCTGGCCCTGGCCGGTTTGGCTCAGCGGTTAGAGCGTCGGCCTGTGGCCTGAGAGACCCGGGTTTGGTTCCCTCTAGGGGCACGTACCTCGGTTGCAGTTTGTCCCCAGCCCTGGTTGGGTCATGCGGGAAGCAGCCACTTGATGTGTCCCTTTCATGTCCATGTTTCTCTCTCTTCCTCCCACTCTAATGGAAAAATGTCCTCGGGTGAGGATAAAAAAAAACAAAACAAAACAGAATGAATCCTGCTAGCAGTCAGCAGGACTTAATTGGATGGTAAATCTTGGTGGGATAACTGCACTTCCTCAGGAGTTTCTTCCAGTTATTAAAATACTCCATTTCCCAGGCGTCCAGGTGCCTAGGGAAAGGCAGTTAATAGCCAGGAAGTTGATTCATTTGTTTGAACTTCAAGCAAAGGGAATTACATGAAAATAGCCTGAGCCTCCCATTAGAGCTCATTCCTGGTCACCAGCCAGAGCCAATTTTTTTCCTTTAAATATTGCTCAATAAACACTATCAAAATAACGGTTTTGAGTTTCCATTTTCTAAACTCCATGCAAACCAACCCTTCTTTTAGCACTTACACTTTTCATACATACTACAAAATAACTGAAGTTTTTGTTTTCTTGGCTGGGCCATTTGTTCTCCAAGTCTTTGAAAGTAAAATTCTTCCTCATCGTTTTGCACTAAGACTGCATAGTCACAGCAGAGACTGTGTATGTTGCAAAGCCTAAAGGACTGACTCATCTTTGAGAAAAGGCTTGCTGGCTCTGACAGTGTAATCTGATCCCTGCATCCTTAGGAGAATGGTATTTCATCTCCAGTTTATGGAGTCATGTTATATGTTTAAAAAAAGAAGGACAACTATAAATCTAGGTTGTAAAAATGTTTACCTATAGGTGGGCCTTGGGATTATAAGTGACTTTTTTCAGATTGTATATCGTGTCCACTATAAACATTAAAAAATATATATACATGTAAGCAGTCCTAGAAGGAAGTCTGATTAATTAGCTTCACTAGCATTAGTTGCTTAATATAAATTCATGGCCTTAAGTGGTTCTAGGTAGCTTAACCCTAGAAAGTGAAGTTCCAATTACCAGTCAGTCAGTTCTGTTTTATTCCTGCCTCTGCCATACACTTACACATGGCCTGTTCATCTCGAGAATGCTAGTGGTTGTTTCAATCACAGTGTGTTACTTTGGGTTGATGTGCAGGTCAGAAGAACTACAGGTGTACTTTGTGCGACAAGTCTTTCACCCAGAAGGCCCACCTGGAGTCTCACATGGTTATCCACACGGGCGAGAAGAATCTCAAGTGTGATTACTGTGACAAGTTGTTTATGCGGAGGCAGGACCTCAAGCAGCATGTGCTCATCCACACACAGTGAGTTACCCCACAGCCAGGCTGTTGCTCAGGTGGAGAGCTCAAGGGCTGACCTGTTGTCTTTGTCCTGACTTGGCCCTCTGTAGGTGCCTCCCACGTTCCGTATAGCCAAGCAAAGGTTGGAAAATGAAGGTTTTGGTTTTATCCTGGAATGTTTCACTTGTTTGCTTTATTTTTCATTTTTACTCTGTGTTTATTTTTTTATTATCATTATTTGTATTTTGTGTTTTTTAATCCTCACCTGAGGATATGTTTTTATTAATTTCAGAGAGAGAGGAAGGGGTGGGGAGAGAGAGAGAGAAACATCGATGTCACAGAGAAACATTGGTTACCTCCTGTACATGTCCTGACCAGGAATCATACCTGCAACCTTTTGGTGTGTGGGATGATGCTCCAGCCAAGTGAGCCACCTTGCCAGGGCTCTGTGTTTACTTTTTATTCATATTTTCAAAAAATCGTAATTTAACAAATGTTTAAGGACCTCCTTGGTGCCCAGCATTGTGCTAAGTGGTGAAATACAGAGATGAAAGACAGTCTTTATCTTTAAAGAACCCAAAGTCCAGCCCTGGCCGGTTTGGCTCAGTGGTAGAGCGTCCGCCCATGGACCAAAGAGTATCGGTTCCGATTCTGGTCAAGGGCACATACCTCAGTTGCAGTTTATCCCTGGCCCTGGTCGGGGTCGTGCAGGAGGCAACCAGTCCATGTATCCCTCTCACATCGATGTTTCTCTCTCCCTTTCTCTCCCTCCCACTGTAACTGAAGATAAATAGAAAAATATTCTTGGGTGAGGATTAAAAAAAAAAAAAAGAGTCCCAAGACCAGTAAGAGAAACATAACAGTAAAACGACCACGCTGTGTTACAGTTGTCAGAGAAAGCATTGTGTCCTGAAAGACCATAGAAGAGGGTCACCTGACTCGGCTGGGGCTGTCTTGAGAAAGGTTTCTGGTAGTTTGAGCTAAGTGTAAAAGAAGATAAATTAGAATTGTTCAGGGAGGCACAGAAGGGTAAGGGACGGGAATAGTACTCTCGACAGAGGGAACGGCATATTTAGTAAGATGTAAGAGGGCCTGTGGAATGCAGGTGGTGCCTTCTAGTTAGAACACAATGCGGGTGTGTGAGCGCGATGGAGAGAGCAGCAGCCAAGTCACGAAGAGCCTTTTATCCAACTAAGAAAATTAAATTCTATCCTGGAAATGTTGGGGATCCACTGAAGGATTTTTCCTCCCCATGTAATAAGCACTGCCGGGTGCTTAGTTTGCCTGCACCATGCGTGTGTGTGTGACTGTTTTATGGTAAAATAAAATAACATAAAATATACTGTGATTTTTCAGATGCACAGTTGAATAATGTTAAATATATTCTCGTTGTAGAAACACTGAAGGATTTTAGGGAAAAGAATGTCATGGTGAGATGTCCATTTTGTACAGCTTGCTCTGGCTGCATGACGGGATGATTGGAGGAGATGTCCAGATGTCGGGAGACCCGTTAGGCATTCACTGCATGCATCCCAGTGCAATTAAATACCTAGCCTGCATTAGTCACAGTAGTTGTAGAGAGAAGAGAAGAGATTTTGTGGTCCTGAGCCTTTAGCAAGTGTCAGAAGAGGGAAAAAACATTAGCTTTTATGTTATGGAGGTACTCTTTTTTTTAATCTTCACCCGAGGACATTTTTGCATTCATCTTCAGACAGGAAAGGAGAGAGGGAGGAAGAGAGACAGAGAAACATTGATGTGAGACAGACACATCCACTGGTTGCCACCCACACCACCCCAACCAGGGTCAGGGACAAACTGCAACTAAGGTACATGCCCTCAGCTGGAACCGAACCCAGGTTTCTTTGGTCTGCGGGCCGATGCTCTAACCGCTGAGTCAAACTGGCCAGGGCGTTCTGGAGGTGCTCTTTAAAAATCTATCTTCAATGGAAACTTTATATTCTTATTGTTGAGTTTAGATAAATACTTTGCTTGATATCAGTTCTTTTTTCTGATTCTTAATCACAGTGCATCCTGAAACACTAAAGTACCAAAGAGTCAAAATGACCTTTTAAAACAATCTTATTAAGTAGTTTCATTATTAGTGTGAAACTAGAAATTAGACACACTATCAAATATTATGTAGAATTGTACATTAGTAGAGCTGAAAGAGATCTCTGGCATCAGTTAGTCTTGCTGTTTATGTTAGTCAGCTCCAGCTGCTGCAACAAAATACCAGGCTGGCTGGCGTAAACGACAGAAATTGCTCTCTTACACTTCTGGAAGCTGGAAGTCTGAGGTCAGGTGTCAGCCTTCTGATGAGGCCCTCGTCCTGGCTCGCAGAGGAGAGGGAGCTCGCTTTAGTCTCTTCCTCTTAGACGGACACTGTTCCCATCGGGGGTCCCACCTCAAGACCTCATCTGAATCTAATTAGCTCCCACAGGCCCCATCTCCAAATGCCAGGCATTGCAGGTTAGGGCTTCAACATATAAATTTGGAGGTAGGGGCACAACATTGAACCCAAAACACAGCTCATACTAGTCCCCTAGGAAATGGGAACAACTGTTGGTGTCAGAGCCCCCTCTCCAGGGATTCTCATTTAGTTGGTAAAGGGTAGAACCCTGGCACTGGTTTCTAAAAAAACTTCCCAAGTGACTCTAATGTCCAGTCAGGGTTGAGAGCTACTGAGTTCATCCAAAGGAAAAATTTGTTTCCACAATATCTCTGGCAAGTAGTTACATTATTTCTTCTTGGATACCATAGGATTGATTTAGTTTTGAGGAAAAGTTTTGCTTTAATCAAGCTTGTATCAGCCTCTATTCATTCATTCTACATCTGCCCTCTGCAATGATACACATAAATTTAATACTTCTTTGCATTGACAATCTTTCATATTTATGATCACTGTTGTGGTCCTTGAACCCTATTTTCATCAGGCCAAACAAATGTCCCTAATTTCTGCAACTTTTTCTCTTACCACCTAGTTTCATATTTGGCGTCTCAAGTGCATACAGAACTGCAGATGTGGTCTGTTCGGGACGTAACAGTAGAGTGATTCGCTTCCTTGAACTTGACTTTCTCTTCTTTCAAGTGATACCTAAATTTACACTTTTTTCGTAGCCATTTCACAGCACAAAGCCATCTCAGTTATTTTGAGATGAGTATATTTGAATGAGACTTTAGGCTTTCTGTAGAGATCATTGGAAACATTTTCAGATATTTGAATTTTTACTTTCAGGCGTTTCAAAATGGATATAGTAGAATAGGAATTCATTCTATTTATTTGCTTAGAAAAGAAAATAGCTACAGTCCTAAAGCCAAATGCAGGAGGGAGGAGTTCCTGTCTCACAGTGTTCCCCTGAGAGTATAAGGCGTGCGGCAGAAACAAGCTTTGTCCTTCTTCTAAGAAAGGGGACTTGAGAGCAAAAATGGTGACACGTACTCCATATGTCATCTCCTCAGTCCTATGGCTTTAGATTTCTATCTCAAGCCTTATATATCTGACCATCGACTCAGCATCTCTGAGTTTTGATGTCCACTTGGCAACTCAAACCTGACATGTCCAAAACTCAGTTCTTAATGTTATCCCTACAGACGTGGTTTTTCTCCATGTTCACCAGCTCAGGAAATGGCATCGCCATTCATCCTGGTGGCTCAGGCCAAACACCTTGGAGCTGTCCTTAATTTGGTCTTCTATTCAATTCACCTAGTCCAGACCACTGGCGTATTTTGTACAGACCACTTCAGTAGTCTCCCCACTGACCTTCCTGCTTCTGCTCTTCCCCAGCACAGCTACACAGGAGCAGACACACAGAACCCGTGTTCTGTCCATAGTAGCCGGGGCAGTCCATTTAAAACAGAAATCCGATGGTGCCCATCTCTACTCGTTCTCCAGTGGGCTTCCCATCATTCCCTTTCATCTTTCCGCATGCTGGGTTAAAAGGTCTTTAACACAGCTTAGAAGCCCCTTCACGATGTATAGAGGTACTTGGCTACCTCTCCCAATTCATCGTTTATTACTCTTTCCTCGTATTCTGCTTTAGCCACGTTGGCCCTCTCCTTACTAAACACATTCTAGTCTCAGGGACCGTGTACTGTGCAGCCTCTGCCTAGAAACCGCTCCCGTCTTCCTCCCTCACTTTGTTCAGGTTTCTGTTCAAATGTCTTCTCAGAATGGCCTTTTTTTCCCTGGCCATTTTGGCTCAGCAGTTAGAGCGTTGACCCTTGAACCTAAGGGTCCTCAGGTTCAATTCCCAGTCAAGGGCATGTACCTTTGTTGCAGGTTTGATCTCCGGCTCCATCAGGGCCATGTGGGAGGCAGCCAGTCGATGTGTCTCCCTCCCTCCCTCCCTCCCACCCTCCCTCCCTCCCTCCCTCCCTCCCACTGTACCTAAAAATCAATGGAAAATTATCCTCAGATGGGGATTAAAAAAAAAAAGAATGGCCTTCCTGACCATCTTACCTAAAATAGGATTCCATAACTCCACTGTTTTGTTTTGTTTTTCATAGTACTTATTACTGTCTGCTATCATGCTATGTATGTTTTTATTTGTTTAGATGTAACTCCTCCACTAGAATGTAAGTGCCAGGAAGGCAAAGACTCAGTTGTCCACATTCTGTAGTCCACAGAGTCCCCCAGAGTCCCCTCCTGCTGGGAGAAGGTGGGGATCGAAGAGCAGCCAGGGTCCGCACTCCAGCGCACCTGCCCCCCTCACAGACCGAGCTGCCGTCACGACGTACAGCGCGGCTGCTCAGAAAAGTTAAATTCCTGGTCTGTATGATCTGTGAGGCTCTTTTCAGCTCTCAGATGTCTGGGCCAGCGTTACTCAGTCCTTGGCACTAACATTTGAGCTGGATAATTTTTTGTTGTAGGGTTACGATTCATGTAGTGAGCTACAATTATGAACTGGCCAGTTGGCAGACATTTTCAGATTTGAGTCTTCCACTTGGTGGTGAGAATGTAGGCAACAGGAACTCTCGAATGGCTTTTGATGGAAGTGTATGTTGATACAATGAAATTGTAAGACAGTTTAGCTTCATCTAGTAGAGTTGAAGATGTGCATATGTTTTGACCCAACTGTACTGCTCCTGAGTATGTATATGTGCTAAAGAAACTCAAACATATGAAACCAACATGCAGGTATAGAAATGTTGGTAGCAGTCTTGCCTGTGATAATAAAGAACTGGAAACCACCAGAATATCCCGTAACAAAAGATAAGTTGTGTATTTGTAAGTAGTGTAGAGCACTGTAAAGGAACAAACTACTGACACCCGTAGGAACTTAAATGAATTTCACAAATATCATATTGAGTGCAAGGAGCAAAAGGCAAAAAAGATACGTGCAGTATGATCCCATTTACATAGAATGCCAAAACAGGCAAACTCAGTCTATGCCGCTTAAACTAGACATGTTTTATGACTCCTCTGCATGATGCACCTCATATAGAAAGGTCTGGACGGGTGGAGCTTCTCGACAGAGGCCTGAGGTGGCGAAGAATAAGCATGGGCTTCAGTCATTTGTGAACCAACTCAGGTGTTTTCTTGTGTTCCTCTTAGAGAACGCCAGATCAAGTGTCCCAAGTGTGACAAGCCGTTCTTGAGAACAAACCATTTAAAGAAACATCTCAATTCACACGAAGGAAAACGGGATTATGTCTGTGAAAAATGTACAAAAGCTTATTTAACCAAATATCATCTCACCCGTCACCTGAAAACCTGCAAAGGGCCCACCTCCAGTTCGTTAACACAAGAGGAGGAAGAGGAGGATGACTCAGAAGAGGAAGAATTAGCAGACGCCGTGGGGACAGAAGACTGTCGGGTGAACAGTGCTGTGTATTCAGCAGATGAGTCTCTCTCAGCACATAAATAAAAGACTCCAATTGTTTTGGATGAAAAATGCAAAGGAAAAAACACACACAAACAGTTACCCCTACAATGGTTTTTATATAAATGGTTTCTGACTTCCTTCTAGCCAACAGTCAAAACAGACTGAATGGGAATGGATGAAGCACTTATGGGGAGTATCCTAATGAAAACACTAAAACAGGTTGGGAAAAGAGACCATGTGTCCTATTTTTAAATGATGTGTAAGGAGGAAAGTGTCAACTTTTGAGGTCTGTATTTACATGATAATCTGTGTCACATTTCTGCCTGAGTCATAGCTGCCTTCTGCCCAAACAAATCAATTTATTTTCAAGTATTCTATTCACTTTTCTTCCCAGTCCTATGACTTAATAGTAGTCTAAACTTGGTCCCTGCCTCATTGTCATCACAATTGCTGATTGTAGTTCCAGTGTTGTATTTTTTGTGGACTGTTGTGATTTATTCATCCCAGAACAGACATGATGGAGAGGAGGAGAGATGCCTGGCCCACTGTCCAGGAAACTAGCTTTGACAGAAGCCAGAGTGAGGCACTTGGTGGTGGTTCCTTCAATACCTAAGTGGGTTTACACATATCTCTGCCCCCAATAAAGCTTCCAGCCCCTAGACCAAGGGGACCTGGAGGTATAGAGCCAAATAATGCCCGCTGGGTTATGTCCTGAAAATAAGCACACTTGGACTCAGCTGGCAAAGTGGTACCTCGGCCCATGGGAGGGAGGGAATGATTCTTTATATTTGGCTTAACCTCTGAAAAGGATCAGGACACCATTAAAATGTTACCAACCCAGAAAGACAAATGATTCCAAATACACTGGTGAATTTGCAAGGTTAGGCCTACCTAGCTGTCCGGTGAAGACCTCACCAGTTAACATGGTGGATACCAAAGGATTCGGGAGGCGGGAGGCTTGCAGTCACCTTGTGGGTGTGTCAGGGTCCCGGCCTAGTTCTTCCATCCGTCTGCTCTTCACCTGGTTTCACACGCGTCTCTTGCTCTCAGCAAGAAGCAGATCCGTCAGTTGACGACTGAGAGAACACACTCTCCTGCACTGAGCTACCACCTCTGGGTCAGAGTAGCAAGGACTCTGGTGGGAAGGTTTTGCTGCTAATGTATTTATAGAATGAATGTATTTCATTCAAATCTGTATTCCTCTAGGAAGGATTAAAATAAAAACTTTTTAAAAAATACAGGATTCCTTTTGTAACCTCATTTCCAGGAAGGAGAGGAATAAGTCTTCAGGGGAGAATTGGGTACGACTTGAGTTTTTTAAAGGTGAGAGGTGGAGAGAGCATTTCCTAAGTCCGGCAGCTTTGGGATCACGTTGCCGTGTGTGTGTGTGTGTGTGTGTGTGTGTGTGTGTGTGTGTGTGTGTGTGGGTGTGTGTGTGTGTGTGTGTGTGTGTGTGTGTGTGTGTGTGTGTGTGTGTGTGTGTGTGTGTGTGTGTGTGTGTGTGTGTGTGTGTGTGTGTGTGTGTGCGCGCGCGCGCTCAGGCAAACGGCTCCCTGTTTCCAGCTCAGGTGCCCTGCTGCTCCCTAAGGTAGTGCCCTGATCTGCTGCCTCCTGCAGAGCTGGCCGGGCTGCAGTGGAGGGAGGGGGTGAGGTGGCACTTGTCACTAGGTCATGAAGCCTCCATCAGGTCAGGCAGCTCTGGTGTGACTGGGGCAACTCCAAGTTGAGCCTTTTGCCAAAGGCATCCTGGTGGCAGGCCACCCGTTCCCCGGCAACCACTGGTGCTGGAACTCGAAGCTGCTTTTCTCCCTTCCTCTGGCTCATGCTGAGTTCAGTGCCTTCATTTCCTAATGCTGGTTGAAAGGCTGCCCCAGGTAGTTCAGGCCAATACAAAAACAACCCAAACAAACAATAGAGAACGGTTTTAGGTGAGAATAATTTTTATTGCTAATTTACCACTGTCTTCATTTTTTACCTCTTAGATTTAAAATGTACATTGAAAGTCCTCACAAGATGAATAAATTAGTAACTGGCCTCTTGACAAGATTTTGCTGTGAGCCTTCTCTGCCTGTTGCATGCAGGTGGCCTTGCTGCTGCTGCTGCGGGGTGAAGGGCCGCGTGAGAAGCAGGACGCGAGTGGGCTGTGGAGCCGACCACATGTTCCCCAGCCTGGGCTTGGCTGTGTGCTGGTTTGAACCTCAGCCAAGTTATGTGACCTCTCTATGCCTGTTTACTGTGAACAGAGAATAATGAGTTCCCATTTCATAATACTGGTTGATGTTAACGTGTAAAGGGCCACCGCAGTGTTGATGTACATTAAACATTAGCCAGTAGTCTAGTTTTAGGTTAGTACAGATTTCTATCCTAAAAGAAATGGCTATAGGTGGCCCAAGAAGCCCTAGATTTTATTAATACAGGAAAAACAGCATAATTAGTTTTCAAGGCAAAGCCTAGAAATGAGTTAGTCGTGTTCTTGTAGTTTAGTGTATGTTTTGCGTGTCCTGTGAAGGGGAGTTGCTTGTAACCTTCATGGGTGCTGAGCTGAGCTCCTCAGGGCAACAGAGGGCAACGAGGTGACAGGAGCAAATCTGGTTCCGCCTTAACTTATGTTGAACATAAACATGCCGGGCTGTCAGCCCCTCATCAAGTATGTCAACTTACAGTATGTGATCACCCAGCCACATCTTAAGTCACTCAAAAACACCTTATCTGCAGGTATACAAGTGGTTACCGCCTGTTATGGGTTGGATGGTCCACCCCATCCCCCAAACTCGTATTTTTTTTTATCCTCACCTGAGGACATTTTTGTTTTCCCGATATTTTGTTCAGATAGAGTGGGAGGGGGAGAGAGAGAGAAACATCGACGTGAAAGGGACACATTGAGTGGTTGCCACCCACACGACCCAACCAGGGCCGGGGACAAACTGCAACCAAAGTACATGTCCTTAGTGGGAACCAAACCCATGTCTCTCTGGACCGCAGGCCGACGCTCCAACCGCTGAGCCAAACCGGCCAGGGCAAAAAACCCTTCTTATTAGATAGGTGAGGAGGAGCTCCTTTTGTTGATAAGAGAAATCTTTGGGGTTTGGGGTACTTATCTCCTCACATTATCATTCCACTCTTTGGATTTGCACTCTTTCCCCCCAAATATAATTTTTATTCAAGAAATCTGCGGAAGCGCCGAATTCAGCCTGTGTTGTAGTCAGTAACCTGCAGGACCACTCCTGGTGTGCCACTGTATCAGACTGTGGCTACAAGAGGGCAGTTAGCTTAGGGTAGTCTCGGATGCCGCTCAGGCTCTCTGCCCTAGCTTATGTCTGTTAGGCAGTTTGTTTGCTTTTGATGTCAGATCCAAAATAATCATTGCTAAGACCAATGTTAAGAAGCTTAGCACAACCCTGGCCGGTTTGGCTCAGTGGTTAGAGTGTTGGCCTGCGGTTCGGTTCCCGCTAAGGGCATGTACCTCAGTTGCAGTTTGTCCCCGGCCCTGGTTGGGTCATGTGGGTGGTGACCACTCGACGTGTCCCTTTCACATCTATGCCCCCCCCCCACTCTATCTGAACAAAATATCAAAATAAATAAAAATAAAAAGCTTAGCACCTTTTTGTCCTAGGAATTTAATAGTTTTGAGTCTTATAGTAGTCTTTAATCCATTTTGAGTTTTTTTTTGTGTGTGTGTGGTATTTAAGGTATAAGGCATATGGTGTATGGTCGTTTCAATACCATTTACTAAAAACACTCTCCTATATTCTTGGTTCCTTTGTTGTAAATTGACGATTAATGCACGCGCTTACTTCTGAAATCTAGTGTTCCATTGATCTGTGCCAATATCATACTGTTTTGTTTACTGTAGCTCTGTAATATAGCTTGAAATCAGAAAGTGATGCCTCAGCTTTGTTCTTAAGATTGCTTTGGATATTCAGGGTCTTTTGTGGTTCCACACAAATTTTAGGATTGGTGTTTTTGTGAAAAATACCATTGGAATTTTGATAGGGATTGCACTGAAACTGTAGGTTGCGTTGGGTAGTAGGGACATTTTAACAATATTAATTTTTCCAATCCATGAGCATGTAATCTTTCCATTTATTTTTGTCTTTATTTTAATTTTTTTTTCCCTCACCGGAGGACATTTTTCCATTTTTTGTTCAGGTAGACTGGGAGGGAGAGAGAGGAACGGAGAGAGAGGAACAGAGAGAGAGAGAGAAACATTGACGTGAAAGGAACACATCGAGTGGCTGCCACCTGCACAACCGACCAGGGCCGGGGACAAACTGCAACCGAGGTACGCACCCTTAGCGGGAACCGAACCCAGGTCTCTCAGGACCGCAGGCCGACGCTCTAACTGCTGAGCCAAACCGGCCAGGGCTATTTTTGTCTTTATTTTTAAAATCAATGTCTTGTAGTTTTCATTGTACAAGTCTTTCACCTCCTTGGTTAACTTTACTCCTACATATTTTATTTGGTGCAATTGTAAATGGGATTAATTTCTTTTATAATTCATTATTGTATAGAAATGCAACAGATTTCTATATGATTTTATATCCTGCAACTACTGAATTTGTCTTAGTTTTAACAGGTTTTTGGTGGAGTTTTTAAGGTTTTCTGTATTTCATCTGCAGATACTGTTTTACTTCTTCCTTTCTGCTTTGGATGCTTTCTTCCCCCGCCTGGTTGCTCTGACTAGGGCTTCCAATACTGTGTTGAATAAACATTGCAAGAGCGGGCATCCTTATCTTACAACCTCAGAGAAAATACTGTCAGCTTTTTCACCATTAAGTATTATGTTAGTGGTGGGCTTGCCATATACAGAGGTGGGCAAAAGTAGTTTACAGTTGTTCATATGCAAAATAGTACAAGAATAAACTTTCACCTACTCACAACTGTAAACCTACTTTTGCCCAACCCGTATATGGCCTTTATTATGGGGATCTCGTATATTTCCTCTGTACCCACTTTGTTGAAAGTTTTTATCGCAAATGGATGTTGAATTCTGTCAGTTTTTTCCTGCATATTTTTGAGATGGTCTTATTTTTATCCTTCCTTTTGTTAATGTGATATGCATCACTTTGATTCATAGATGTTGAACTATCCTTGCATCACTGGACGAAATCCCACTTGATCATGGCTTATGATCCCTTTAACATCTTGTTGAATTTGGTTTGCTATTTCACTGAAGATTTATACATTTATATTCATCAGGGATATTGGCCTGTAATTTTTCTTGTGGTGTCCGTTTCTGATTTTGGCACAATAACGCTGGCCTCATAAAATGAGTTTGGGCCTGGCCAGTATGGCTCAGTGGTTGAGCATCAATCCATGCACCAAGAGATTCCCAGTTTGATTCCCAATCAGGGCACATGCCTGGGCTTCGGGCTCGATCCCCAGCAGGGGGCACGCAGGAGGCAGCTGATCTATGTTTCTTTCTCTCTCTCCAATCAATAAAAATAAAATTTAAAAAAGAGTTTGAAACTATTTCAGGAAGATTGGTATTAGCTCTTATTTAAATGTTTGATAGAATTAACTAGTGAAGCAATGAAGTCCTAGATTTTTGTTGGGAGGTTTTTAATTCCCGATTCAATCTCTTGACCAGTAATCAGTCTATTCACATTTTCTATTTCTTCAGTCTTAGGTCATGTTTCTAGAAATTTTCCCTTTCTTCTAGATTGTCCAATTTGTTGGGATATAATTTGTTCATAGTAGTCCTTTATGGTCCTTTGATTTCTGTGGTATCACTTTTTGATTTTTGAGCGCCGAGTAAAGATTTGTCTATTTTACCTTTTCAAAAACCCAGCTCTTGGTTTCACTAATCTTTTTTATTTTAAGTCTTTATTTTTAATTTCTCTTTTATTTCTTGCCCCACTGGTTGTTTGGTACATATTATTTAATCACCCTATGTGTGAATTTTCCAGTTTTCTTGTAATTGATTTCTAGTTTCATACTATTGTGGTTGGAAAAGATCTTTGACACGATTTTAATGTTAAATGTATTAAGACTGATAGCTGTCAGAGGGGAGGGGGTTGGGGGGCTGAGTGAAAAAGGTGAAGGGTTTAAGCAAAAAAAAAAAGCCCCCATAAACACAGATAACAGTATGGTGACTACCAGAGGGAAGTGGGGTTGGAGGGATGGGGAGAGAAAAACTAAAAATAATAATTTATTAAGACATGTTCTGTGGTCTAACATGATCTCTCCTGGAGAATTTCCCATGTGTGCTTGAGAAGAATGTATATTCCATTCTTTCGGATGGAATGTTCTGTATAAGTCAGGTCCACCTGGTCTAGCGAGTTATTTAAGGCCACTGTTATTGAGTTTTCTGTCTTAAAGATCTAGTCACTGGTGAAAGCGGAATATTAAAGTCTTCTACTATTATTGTATTGCTGTTTCTCCCCTTAGGTTCTGTTAACAGTTGCTTTATGTATTTATGTGCTCCTATGTTGGGTGCATAAAATTTATGCGTGTTATATGATCTTGGTAGCCTGACATCTTTATCATTATGGAATGTCTCTTCTTTGATAACACTGAATGCCATGCTAGGGAAAAAAGGCAGGCCACTTTTAATTGTTACCAAACAGAAGCACTCAGAATAGCTGTAAGTCATGAGCATTAACTGGAGGATAGTCAGTTTGGAACGTGCACTCCCTGGAGTGCCTGCCTCTGTTCGTGGCCTACTGTGCCATCTTGGCCAAATCACAACCCTTCCTGGCCTGGGTTTACCCATCTGTTAAGATTACAGGATTTTCCTCTTTTTTTTTTATCCTCACCCGAGGACATTTTTCCATTTTTTGCTCAGGTAGAGTGGGAGGGAGAGAGAGGAACAGAGAGAGAGAGAGAAACATCGATGTGAAAGGGACACATCGAGTGGCTGCCACACGCACAACCGACCAGGGCCGGGGACAAACTGCAACCGAGGTACATGCCCTTAGCGGGAACCGAACCCGGGTCTCTCAGGACCGCTGGCCGACGCTCTAACCGCTGAGCCAAACCGGCCAGGGCGGATTTTCCTCTTTTTAAAAATTATATAAATTACTAGCTATTTTACAGACTTAGATAACATATGTGACAGATGGCATACTTAAGGAAGTATTTTTAAAAAACCTTTTTTATTACCCTTCCCAAGGAGACCTGCAACAGGAAGCTCACACATACATGCTCGAACAGCAAGCTCGGAGACTGGCCCTGCTCTGCCACCACAGCTGCAGAGAGGAATGTCAGGCAGTAGGAAATGAATTTTGTTTCTGTCGCTACACATGGAACATTTTTAGGCCAGCTTTTTAAAATTCCAAGTTAAGGTAAACAAAACAGGAAATTGTATGATCCTCATTAAGACTCCATTGGTGTGTCTGAGCTCCTGCTCCCAAAAGGGCCACTAATAGATGAATTTCTTGTATTACCAAGAACAAGCCTCTCTCGTCTTCCAAATGCTTCATTTACTAAAACAAAGAATTAAGAAATTACCAGATCAGAAAATTAAAAGACTATAATATAAAAAGAAACTAAAATGTAGAAATGAGCAGTAAGTTACTCTACAGTGGAAGTTTTACTCATGAGATGTATTTAACACTTAGTAAATGTAAGTCACCAACTCAGAAGTACAAGTTCATGTTCTAAATGAGGTTTAATCAAGTTTTAAAATGACTACTTTTTTTTGGTATTTTCTTTGCCTTGTCCTGGATTTATCTAATCCACTTTGATAACAAATGCCCCTTCCATTATTCTACTTCTGAGAGTTTCCTATTCTCTCTCTTTCATCTGTATCATTTATACACAGAACTTAGATTTGGGACCATTTTTCTATATGGAGGGAAGATTCGGGAGGCGGAGAGTGTGGCTGCTCCATGACTGTAGGACAAACCAGACTACCGCAAAGTAACAAACCAGCAGCCAGGCTCCCAGGACGGGAGGGGGTGGCCCCACGAGGAGAGCAGATTTATTCACCCTGGAACGGGGAGGGTTATTCCTTGAGATCATGCTACAGTTCCTTCTAGCTTTCCCATTAAGATCTTTCCATTTTAAAATTCAAGTTTTGTTATAAAGATAACAGATATTTCTGAATGACCTGCACATAAAGACAAAATTATTTGTGAACATAAACATTTCCTAAGCAGACTACACGATGAACACGGGATCTACCTAATGTATCTATACATGCTGTTAGCCATTATAGAACTCATTCAGAAAAGCAGGAAATTAATTCTTACCTGAAGAGACGGTGCTTATATCCCACACCCGAAGCCCTTCTTTCTGACCCCCAAAGGCATAAATAAATGGCAAATCAGGGCAACAGGCAGAACAGAAGAGAACTCCCTGGGGAGAAGAAAATAGAATGTCAGTGATTTTAATCTTTATAGAGAACCCAATCTAGATCCCTGTCTACAAGAACCTATGATTTGAATGGTTACTCAAAACCAACTTACCAGTATCTCTTTCAAGCCTTCTAAAAGGCAAATCACAGTCAAATTGGAAAGAATATTACCACAATAGGAAGCCAGGCAAGTTCAGCATGATAGACATTCGGTGTGCATGCTTGTGATGACCACTCAGGTCTCTTATCTCCATTATCATTCTATTACAAATTTCCTAATAAATCTAATCTAAGTATTTCTAGTTCTTTTTAAGCAAAGATGGTGAAGGTACCAGAGGTTACTATTAAGTCATTTCTAAAAAAGTTTTTTTTTAGAGAAAGAGGAAGAGAGAGAGCAAGAGAGAGAAACATCGATTGCCCGCTTCCTGCATGTCCCCACTGGGGATCAGGCCCACAACCTGGGCATGTACCCTGACTGGGAATTGAACCAGCCACCTCTTGGTGCATGGGTCGATGCTCAACCACTGGGCCACACTGACCATTTCTAAATTTTAATGTTTTCATTTTTATTACTAGATGGCCCATGTATTATAGAAAATAAAACAAGAAAAACTATAGAAACCATTCATTGAGATAATTACTATTCATATTTTGGGTTAAGGGCTTCCAGATTAAATATACTCATTCAGGCACATAAGCATTTAAGTAGAAGCATGGATGGTACTATAAAAATTGCTTCTGTAACCTTCCTCTCCACAAATATTTACACACACATAGTCACTTTAAAACAATCACACAATATTCTATGTCTGCAATTTAATTTATATAACTCAGTGCCTGGTGCACAGTAGGTGTGCAAAAAATATTTGCTGAGTGAATGAATTCACTATTTCTAAAATTGTTGCCACTACATAGTAATCAATTTCAATGTAGTCAGAACTAGTTATGCAAAAAAGTGATACACTGAGCCCGGCTGGTACGGTTCAGTGGTTGAGCGCTGACCCATGCACCAAGAGGTGGTCAGTTTGATTCCTGGTCAGGGCATATGCCCAGGTTGTGGGAGGCATGCAGGAGGCGGCCAATCGATGTTCTCTCTTACTGATGTTTCTCTATCTCAAATCAATAAAGAAAAAAAAAAGTGATACAGTCACCCCCAACAGCTATAGTGCCATCAATCAGGTATAAGATTTCCTGGGACAGTACTGACTTTAGGGTAAAAAAATGCGGCCATTCCACCCATGTCCTAGAACACCTTCTTCCTACATCTCTCGTTCTTGCCAAGCAACTGGTAAACATGTGAGTTGAAAAAGGAACTAGATAGACATTGATTTACCCTCAAACTATCCCAAGTCATAAAATTCTCACCAAATTTGGCTAAAGCTCAAAATTAACTCCCCCAACAAATCCATATTTAATGTGCTGATTCCCGGAGAATGACAAACTGTACAGATCAGAAACAAAACAAAGATGCCCAGGGAGAGCCTTACCATTTTCATGTCCCTGGAGTGAACTAGACTTGGCCTGTCTCCTAAGATGTCCCAGATCTTCACATATTTGTCCGCTGACGCAGTCACAAGACAACCCTTGATCTGACTGCTGAGATCAAGACCTAAAGGAAGATTAGTTCAGAGACTCTGACTTTGAAATACAGATTTACTTCTTCATAATTTAATAAAAATGAGAGAAACACTATTCTTGCTCACCAGAGATTTCATCATTGTGTGCATTAAGTGTAAAAATGGGCTTATCTGAACGTGCATCCAAATCATATACAAAGCCGTCATCTGTACTGGCCTGGAAAGGGTAAAAGATGGCAAGATTGTGCTATATGACAATCAAATGTAACAATGGGTAAACAGTACAAATGATAGTGAAAGTCAGCTATACACCGGACTTACCTTAGGAGCTTATTAAAGTTAATGTGGGACTTCTGGTCAAGATGGCGGGTAGGTAAACGCAGTCTCACGTCCTCCCACAACCACATCAAAGTTACAACTAAACTACAGAACAACCATCATTCAGAACCGCCTGACATCGAGCTGAATGGAAGTCCTACAACTACGGGATTAAAGCAGCAGCCACATGGAGACTGGGAGGAGGGCGGAGGGGACGGGCTGGTCCCACACCCACACCCACATGTGGCGGATAAAAATCAGGAGGACACCTCGGCTGGGAAGGTCCTCCCTGAGGACTGAGGGGTCCCCATCCCACACCAGGTGCCCCGCTCAGGGTTCCAGTGCCAGGAAGAGAATCCCCGTAACTTCTGGCTGGAAAACCAGTGGGAACTGAGGCTCAGGGAGGCTGAGGCGGCTGGAGCCCCAGGCAGCTCCTTAAAGGGCCCGCGCACGGACTTATCGGACTCTCTCCCTCTAAGCTTGGAGGGGAGGCAGCTCGAGGGGCGCCAGAGACATACAGGGAAGAACTGAGCTGTTTGGCACTGGAGCGAGGGCTGGAGAGGGGGCTTTTCCCGGGACAAATGTGCTGTCAGAGGCCTTTGTTCCTTTGGTGAGCCCTTCCCTGGGGTGGCAGACAGCCTTCATATCTGGGGCTCCAGCAACCTGGCTTACACTGGTAGCCCCGCCCTGGTGATTCCCTGAGGCCCCGCCCCACCCAACCTCAGGCCCACCCAAGCTGTTGCCAGTTGCTTAACCATAGGATTGGCCTGTCTTGGATCCTGTTTCAGGTTTTCCTAAATTCTTTCAATCAAGCAGCATCTGGTCTCAGATAGCCCCATACCACTCGTTAAGTAATACACAGAAACAAACACAGGGAGGCAGCCAAAATGAGGAGACAAAGAAACAGGTCTCAAATGAAAGAACAGAACAAAACTCCAAGAAAAGAACTAAGTGAAATGGAGATAAGCAACCTAACAGATGCCGAGTCCAAAATACTGCTTATAAGGATGTTCAATGGACTTAGTGAGAACCTCAGTGAACTTAGTGAGGGCCTCAAGAGCATAAAAAAGGACCAGTCAGAAATGAAGGAGGCACTAACTGAAATAAAGAATAATTTATACAGATTCAATAGTAGAGTAGGTAAAGCCAAGAAGCAAACCATCAATTTGGAATATAAGGAAGCAAAAAACACCCAATCAGAACAGCAAAAAGAAGAAAGAATCCAAAAAAAATGAGGATAGTTTAAGGAGCCTCTGGGACAACTTCAAGCGTGCCAACATTCACCTGTTGGGGGTGCCAGAAGGAGAAGAGAGAGAACAAGAAATATAAAACCTATTTGAAACAATAATGGCAGAAAACTTCCCTAACTTGGTGAAGGAAACAGACATACACGTCCAGGAAGCACAGAGTCCCAAACAAGATGAACCTCAAGAGGCCCACACCAAGACACATCAACATCAAAATGCAAAAGGTTCAAGACAAGGAGAGAATCTTAAAAGCAGCAAAAGAAAAGCAGTTAGTTACCTACAAGGGAGCCCCCATAAGACTGTCAGCTGATTTCTCAAAAGAAACTTGGCAGGCCAGAAGGGAGTGGCAAGAAATATTCAGAATGATGAAAAGCAAGAACCTACAACCAAGATTACTCTATCCTGCAAAGCTGTCATTTAGAATTGATGGCCATATCAAGAGTTTCCCAGACAAGGAAAAGCTAAAGGAGTTCATCACCACCAAACCATTATTATATGAAATGTTGAAGGGTCTTCTTGAAGAGAAAGAAAAAAAATATGAACAAACAAAATGGCAATGAAACATAGCTATTAACAATTGAATCTACAAACAAAATGAACAGGTAGAACAGAAACATTCTCATAGATACAGAGAACATTTTGTTGGTTGCCAGATGGAAGGGGTTTGGGGGAATGGGTGAAAACGGTGAAGGGATTAAGAAGTACAAATTGGTTGTTAGACTGACAAACCTCAAAGGGAAGGGGGGATGGGGGGTGGGAAGAAATAAACCAAAGAACTTACATGCATATATACATAACCAATGGACACAGACAACAGTGTGGGGAGGAGGGGGTCAATGGGGGGAAAAATGAGAAACATCTGTAATACATTCAACAATAAAGATAAGTTTAAAAAAAAAGTTAACATGGACAGAAAGTATTTACTTGTGGATAAGCTGAGTTTGCTCTTACATGGACTAAGTCAGCTGATAGGATGTACCCACTAGGCCGCTGGTATGAATGGGAGGCTATGGGAGTGGTATGGACTGGTTAGAGAGGTGGTAGTCACAGCCATGAGAACAGAGGGGACATGCCCTAGGAAAGCAGAATTAAAAGACCAGTGTGTTGGGGAAAGGGGGTGGAGGTGGAAGAGGGTATAGAGTAGATAAATGGTGATGGAAAAAAAGACCAGTGTGCTGAGGATAGAGGCCCAGAAAGCATGGCCACTTAAAGTACAGGGTGAGGAGGACCTCACAGAAGAATCAAAGAGGGGGGAATAATAAAGAATGTCAAGGAAACAAGGCTTCTGAAGAAAGGCACGATGAATCGTTATAGTGTATTGTTACACTTTCATGTTAGGGAGAAGAAACAAAAGAATTACGAAACAGACCTAGTCAAGGATGGGAGAGAGACTTGAGCCTACATACAGGCCAAGACCAACAGCCAATACAGGAAAAAGGAGAAAAAAACCTTACTAAAATTGTGCACATTTTAAGAACTTTATAAAGAACTCTTTCCCTCATTTACAAAGCCCTACATATTTACTTTAGGAAAATTAGAAAATATATAGATGCATCACAATTTCTTTAATTACTCTCTTCCCTTCTGGATGAAAGTTGGGATTTCATCTCTCCATGGATTGAAATGTCAATGGAATCATTGTATGCTACATAGAAAACTGTCATCCTACAGACACTGGGGTATTTATAGAAAGATCTTATACTTTTTTCCTGTCTGGGAGACAGTGCTATATTAATTAAATAGGCTAGCATTTAAGTACTAGGACTTAAAGTTAAAAAAAATTAAAAGAATATTAACCACGTTAAGTATTTAAAAAAAACACACACAATAAAACAATCAAAGTAAAATCTGGCACACTTCGGAATGGTTGGAAATCATCAAACTTATTTACATGTTTACTGTTTTTTGTGGCTGATCCACTGTTCTCTTGTTAAAAATACCTTTTTTTTTTACACCCTAAAATCCAAATACTTCACACTGTTAATACAAAATAGCTTTTCAGAGTCTCTCTACAATGGAATGAAAGAAAATAAATATTAGTAACCTGGATAAGCAAAATGGTAATATGCATGGTCTTACCAAGAAATGACAAGGGGAAAAGTGATTCCAAGTCACTCTCTCGATCTGCCCACTGAATCGCCACATTCGATTGCTTTCCTCTGGACTTCGGCAATCGTACAAAGCCACTGACCTGCACACATAAAGGCAAAGTTAGGGTTTTCAGAGTTCAGTTCTCCTATTTTATTTTTCTTTCTTTGTTCTTTTTTTGCATTTATCTTCAGATAGAGTGAGAGGGAGAGGAAGAGAGAGAAACATCGATGAGAGAGACATATCGAGTGGTTGGCACCCACATGACCTCAACAGGGGCCGGGGACAAACTTGCAACCAAGGTACGTGCCCTTAGCAGGAACCGAACCTGGGAGTCTCTGGTCTGTGGGCCCATGCTCTAATCGCTGAACCAAACTGGCCTGGGCTGTTTTCAGTTTATTTTTAATGACATGGTAATAAAACACTGTGAAGTCAGAATCCAATTATTTAAAGCCTGCATTGAGGTTCCAAAATAAAATAGAAAAGATGAATTGATTGGTGGACTCTCTCACTTGAAGGAACTAGTGGCTCTGGATGTCATAGGGATCTTGACCTTCTCCAGGTTGAATCCTCCCTTTATAAGATGAATTGTCTCTATTTCCAAAAGACCAGGACGATTTCTAACTCTCCTTCTCCCAGCAGTGCTCAGAGCCAGATAACCCATGTCTTAGTCACACTTACCCTCTGCAGGAAGGTTACTGTTGGGGTGGGTGGAGGTGGAAGGGCACAGAGGAGATAAACGGTGGCGGAAAAAATAAATTATAGTCGGCCCTTGTTTGTCGCGGTTAATCAGTTCCAGACTGATTATCTACTGCAATAAATGAATTTCCGCGAAGTAGGATTCTTTATTTATATGCAGTCGTCCCTCGCCACTTCACACCTTGACTTTCGCGGCTTTACTCTATCACCATTTTTTTCAAATATAGTATAGTATTTGAAAAAACCGCGACAGAGTGAAGCCGCGAAAGTCTAAGTGCAAAGTGGTGAGGGATAACTGTATTTAAAAAGAAAAAAGGTTACTGTGTTGGGGGAACCAATGGATGGATACTTTTCTAATTTTGCCTGAATCTAAAAAATCTAAACATACCACTCTTTGAAAGGACAAAGAGTCAAAATAAAGACTGGGTTTCTGTTTCTACTAGTTATCTTTCCCACCTCCAGACCCAATCTGAAAAGCGGCGCACACGACTGGACACTCCTCTGTGGTCGACTAGTGGGCCCGATTCTTCACCCCTCCCCCTAGCCATGCCCTCTGCCAGTGACATGGGAGTTCTCCCCATGAGCGTAGAGTTGGTCTCTCACTCCATGTGATGTTTTGGCCAAGAGAGTAAGACATAATGCATTCTCTCTGAGCATCAAGTGATACTTTCTGAATTAGTTCAAGAGGATAAAAACAGTAGCAATAATTCTGAAATGCAATGTTTTCTTACTTATCATATGATCCAGAAATCAGAGTCTGTGCTTCAAATGGATGAAACTGTAGAGTCTGGACCTAAAAGGAAGAAACATAAATAAACAGATCTGTTTGTTTGGTTTTGGTAAAATTGCCTAGTCCTTGGTGAAAATCAACTTGGCTGTGTTTTTATAAATTTTTCTCTTTGAAATTTAGTGGTATTTAAAGATCATTAAATGTACTGCATGATGAAAAGGACTAACATTTCCAAATAAAGGTTAACACTTAAGATATAACATGGCATTCCCCAAATTGTGTTTGGCATAATACATATGTCCCTCAAATGATAAAATATATTCAGAAGAAAAAAAGGGGTGTGGTCAAACATATCCAGGCAAATCTACATGCTGTGGAAGTCCCACTGAGTGCATTTTTAGGAGCCTCTCTAAACATGATACAAAGCACGAATGTTCCTAGTCACTTCACCTTTCTGCACCCATTTTTGCATCTCTGAGATGGGCAATTATAACTACCACACAGGGCGTTGTGAAGATCCAATGCGATAGCATGTGAAGCACTCGAATTCACAAAAAGCCATTTATGAATATTTGGGAATATTTATACCCAGTATCTGCCTCAGAGTTTTCAGAATCCCTTTTACCCCTTAAATCATCATACCTTGTCTGTGTGCACAGCAAGGCTAGCTGCTGGCTTCCCCAAGGACATGTCCCACAGAATCACAGTGCTGTCAGCCGATGCACTTGCCAGCACGTTTCTACGGGAGGAAACAAATCAAGCGCTCTTTTAAATATCGAACTTTTTACATGTAAGAATTCCATTTATACTAGCATCAAAAAGAATAAAATACTTCAGAATATTCAAGACTTATGTTTTGAAAACTATAAAAGATAGTTAAAAGAAACAATATCTAGCCTGGCCGGTGTGGCTCAGTGGACTGAGCATCGTCTCACAGACTAAGAGGTTCCAGTTCGATTCTTGGTCAAGGCACATGCCTGGGGTTGTGGCCTTGATTCCCAGTAGGGGGTGTGCAGGAGGCAGCAGAATATTCTCTCTCACACTGATGTTTTTCTCTCTCCCTTCCTCTTTCTCTCTCAAAAAAAAAATTCAATAAAAACATATTAAAAAAAAAAAACATTATCTAAACAAAGATATTCCATGTTCATGGATTGGAAGACAATGTTGTTAAGACAGAAATACTGCCATCTACGGATAGACCAACAGATTAAACCAATACCTTTCAAAAGCCCAGCTGCCATTTTTGCAGAAAACGGACAAGCTGGATTTAAACTTCATTTGGAAATGCTAAGGATCCAGAATAGCCAAAATAATCTTAAAAAGGAAGAGCAAAGGTGGATAAAAATCAGTTTCTGATTTCAAAACTGACTGAAAAGCTATACTAATCATGACAATGTGGCACTGGCATCAGATTAACAGAACAGAATGAAGAATCCAGAAGTAAACCCTCAAATTTATGGTCATTGTTTTTTGATAAGGGTGCCAAGATTATTCATTGTTCAATGGGGAAAAGAACAATATTTTCAACAAATGGTTCAAGGACAAATGGATAGCCTCTTGCAAAAGAATGACGTTAGAGCCCTAGCTGGGTAACTCAGTTGGTTATGTTGTCCCAATATGCCAAGGTTGCGAGTTGGATCTCTAGTCAGGACACACACAAGAATCAACCAATGAATGCATAAGTAAGTGGCACAACAAATCGGTATTTCTCTTTCTCCCTTCCTCTCAAATCAATTTAGAAAGTGAAGTTAGACCCCTACACTATACACAAAAAGTAATTAAAAATAGAGTATAGACCTATTAAACGTAAGAGCTAAAACTGTAAGTCTCAAAAGAAAACAGGTATAAATCTTCGTGACCTTGGGTTAGGCAATGGCTTCTTAGATATGACACCAAAGCTATAAACAAAAGAAATAAACTGGACATCATCAACATGAAAAACTGTTGCAAATGGCACCATCAAGAAAGTAAAAGGACAACCTACAGAATGGGAGAAAAAAAATTGTTAATCCTCACCCTAGGATATTTCCATTGATTTTTAGAGAGAATGGTAGGGAGAGGAAGAGAGGTAGGAAGGGAGGGAAAGAGAGGGGGGCGGGGGAGAATGATGTGAGAGAAACACATTGATTGGTTGCCTCCTGCACACACCCCAACCCCAACAAGGGCCGGGAATGGAACCTGCAAGCCAGGTATGTGCTCTTGACTGGGAATTGAACTTGTGACACCCCCCCCCCCGCCTCCCCCAGTATGTGGGGCTGATGCTCTAGCTGCTGAGCCACACCAGCTAGGGCTGGGAGAAAATATTTTAAAATCATATATGTGATAAAGGACTTATATCTAGAAGTGATTTTCAGCCTTTTTCATCTCATGACACACACAAACTAATTGCTAAAATTCTTTGGCACACCAAAAAATTACATTTTTTGCTAACCTGACAAAAAAATTAGGTATAATTTTGATTCATTCACACTGGACGGCTGTTGTATTGGTTATTGTAATTTTTTAATTTGACAATCTAAGGGATAAAAGGTCAGAACCCTTCCCTCACTAAATAGTCAGGTATTGCATGTTTTAAAACTTCTTCAGGTACACCAGATGAAAATCGCTGATCTAGAATATACAAAGAACTTTCAACCAAATAATAAAAAGAAATAAACCAATTAGAAGATGGGCAAAGGATCTGAATAGATACTTCTCTATAGAAGATATTCAAATGTCCAATGAGCATGTGAAAAGGTGCTCAAAGCCATTAGTCATTAGGGAAATAAAAATTAAAAAATGGGATACCACTTCATATTCACAGGATGGCTATAATGAAAAAGTCAGACAATAACAAGTGTTAGCAAGATAGAGAAAAATTGGAACTCCCCCTAACACTGCATTGGGAATATAAACAGTATAGATGCTATACCATATAAACTAGCAATTGCACTCAGGTATATACCCCCCCCAAAATGAAAACATATGTCTGTGTAAAAGCTTGTTTACAATGGCATTATTCATAATAGACAAAATGCAAAACCAAACCAAATGTCCATTAATTGGTGAATAGATACACGAAATGTAGCATAACCATACAAGGGAATATTATTCAGCAATAAAAAGAAATGATGTACTGATACAGGTTACAACATGGACAGACCTTGAAAACATGCTTAGGGGCAGAAGCCAGACACAGAAGCCCATACAATGTATGAGTCCATTCCAGGAGATGTCTAGAACAGGCAAATCCACAGGCACAGAAACTAGATTCATGGTTGCTAGGGGCTGGAGGGACAGGAGAATGAGCAGTGACTGCTAATGGGCACGGTTTGCTTCCTGGACTGATGAAAACATTATGGAATCAGACAGTGGTGATGGTTGCACAACTTTGTGAATACACTAAAAACCACAGAATTGTACGATATGAGAATGAATTTTATGACGTGAGAATTAATATCAACTGTTTTATTTTTTAAAAAAGCACTAATTGTGATTAGGAAAAAATGTCTACTTTTTAGGGATCAAGCACTAATAATGTAGTTCTACAACAGAACACACCCAGAAAACCTGAAATTGATTCTTGGTGGTGCCACTGACTGGCTGTTATACTGAAAAGTGAGTCGCACTTCTGTGCCTGCAATAAGGACACACCCACCTCAAAAGCTGCTCTGCCAGCACCCGAGTGACTGAAAGGTAGTGCCCCTGATAGATGTTTTAGTTCTCAGCATTTCATAAATTAAATGTTAACTTTACTTCCCGATAACTAGTTTATTTACATATACTGTTCACCAACAGCAAAAGTTAAAATATCACAGCACATTTTTCATCCTAGTTACTCTGAAAACATCTTGACTGAAATTCCTCCCATGTTAAAGTTCTTACTGTATGAAGCTTAAAAATAAATGAAGCTTAGCCCTGGGCAGTGCGGTTCAGGTGGCTGGGTGTTGCACCAACAGGTTGCTGGTTTGATCCCTGCTCAGGGCACATGCCCTGGTTGTGGGCTCAGGGATGTGCAGGATGCAGCCAATCAATGTTTTGCTTTCACATGGATGTTTCTCTCTCTCTCCCTCAAAAATAAAAACAAACAAAATCAATAAAAATAAATGAAGCTTGAAAATGAACAAATTAAAAAAAAAATTCTGGATACTACACTCCGAGAAGAGTACTCCGATAAGGGTGTGCAGAGAACATGCATTTTGTTACTGGAAGCATTTTACTAGAAACCAAGGTCCTTAGAGGTAGGTACCAACGTCAGCATGTTATTCCTCACCAAACTCCATGCCACAGTATGGGAAGTATTTTAAAGCATTTTGCACCTTTTCAGTAAGGGATGGGGAAAGGAATATCGAGGTCTACATTAAGACAGGAAAGGAAGAGTTGAGGAAGAAAGAAATATGTGGCACTGAAACCAGAGATGTGAGTTCGGAGGGAGGACGACTGGTGCTGAAAGGGTCTAAATGGAACTAGGGAGTTGTGGTGTGAAAGAAATTGGTGAACCAGCTGGAATAATGATAGGGGTTGCTTCGTTAAGAATGAACTTTCAGTTACTCCAAGTAATAGCTGCTATAAGAATTTAGTATATGTAATTAGTGTGACAGTTCAGACGTGTAAATAAGAATGGGTTCCTAAAAGCATGGTATACTCATTAGATCTCTTATTCATCTGCCCATTTAGTCAGGACCAGGACCAATTCAGACAAAACCCTAACAATTGCTTTTAGCCTGGCAACATCAGATTCACCTGTGAAAGCTTATAAACAACCCACCAAAACAAAACAAAAAAAGCAACAGGTCTGGGCCCCTGCTCTAGAGCTACTGATCAGTCTCGGGGGATTGGGGCCAGGAACCTGTGTTAAAGGGTTACCTGGAAGATTCTGATTTGCAGCTAAATTCAGGAAATACTAACCTAAACAGGTTTCTCAGGTCCATTTTCTCAAATGGTTATAACTCTGAAGAAGTCTGAACACAAACTAGAAGACAGGATATGCTTTGGTAAACTAGCACTCTGGGATCCTGCAATTACAAAGTATCCAGTGTAACCAAAATGCTAAAAAAATGTGTACCAGGTAATCCAGTTTGTTCTTACCTCTCAGATAAACTATACTCAACCTAATGCTTATCTTCCTTGCCGTCCCCTCAAACCAACTATGCTATGAGGAAAAGGGTTCTTGGGATAAGTGCTGTGTAAGAACAAGTATAAAGACTATGTGGATGACATACAATTTCTTAGATGTAATACTAAGAGCACAGACAACAAAAGTGAAAATAAATTGGACTGTATCAAAATTAAAAACTCTAATGCAAAGAACACTATCAACAGAGTTCAAGGCAAGCCTCTGAATGGGGGGAAATATTTGTAAACCATAAATGTGATAAGGAATTAATATTCAAAATACATAAAAAAATTACAAATCAGTAACAAAATACCAAACAACCCAATTTAAAATGGGCAAAGGACCTGATCGTCCCTTTCCCAAAGATACACAACTGGCCAATAAGCACTTGAAAAGATGCTCAACATCACTAATCATTAAAGAAATGCAAATCAAAACTATAGTGATGCCCTGGTCAGTTTGGCTTAGCGGTTAGAGCATCGGCCCACAGACCAGAGAGTCCCAGGTTCGTTTCCCGCTAAGGGTCCCCACCCCGGTTGGGGTTGTGTGGATGGCAACCTGTTGATGTGTCTCTCTCACATCAATGTTTCTCTCTCTCTCTCTCTCTTCCTCCCTCTCTCCTTCCCGCTCTCTGAAGATAAATGCAAAAATGTCCTCAGATGAGGATTAAAAAACAAAACAAAACTATAGTGACATACCGTTTCACAACCATTAGGATGGCTACTATGAAAACAAAACCAAACCAGAAAGTAACAAGTGTTGGCAAGAACATGGAGAAATTGGAACCAGTGAGAATGTAAAATGGTGCAACTGCTCTAGAAAACAGCATGGTGGTTCCTTAAAAAGGTAAAAACAATCTCCTTATGATCCAGCAATTTCACTTTTGGGTACATTTACTCAAAAGAACTGAAAGCAGGGACTCTAACACACACTGTACACCCATGCTATTCACATCTGTGTGACTAATAGCGGCATTATTCACAACAGCCAACACCTGGAAGAACTCAAAAGTGCCCGCTGACAGATGGATAAACAAAATATGGTAGAGACAAAGAGTGGAATATCATTCAGCTTTAGAAAGGAAGGAAATCCCACCATATGCCACAACATGGATTAACCTTGTGCTAAGTGAAATAAGCCAGACACAAAAGGACAAATACTGTATGATTTCACTTATGAGGTCCCTGGAGGCCTCGGGGGGAGCAGAGAGTGGGGAGTTATTGCTTAACAGGTACATAGTTTCAGTTTTGGAAGATGAAAAAAGTTCTGGAATGGTAAATTTTAGGGTCTGTCTTTTTTACCACAATTAAATACATTAAAATATTTAAAAATATATGGATGAGATTTGGTGAAAATGAAATGAAGTGAGAAGTGTGTTCGGTGAAGAAACACAATTCTGCAGCACCAGCACTGCCGCACACACTTCCCTCCGGGGGCGCTGCACAGGACAGCCCCGCTCACCGAGCATGCAACGAGCAACGACTGAGCGAAGAGCTGGCGGGGTGTGGGGGTGCCAGACACGGGCAGCACAGCTCCTGCCTTCAAGCAGTGTGTACTGCTGGGAAGAAGAATAGACATGGACACAAAGACCTGCAACACGCCACCTAGGCACGAGGTTAACACAATGGTTAGTCTTCAACAAATCTTCAGATGTTAATTCTTTTTACCTGATCAGCTTATTCCAAGAAAGGTCCAGAACAGCATCGGTATGCCCCTCTGCTGAGGAACTCTGTAATTATTGTTCAATTTAATTACTTTTCATATTAAAGTCTCCCCAAAATAAAATTAATTAATTTGAAGGATTCTTTAAATATTAAGATTATTGTTTTGATCTTAAGCAAACCTGAAGACTAAGAAAAGGAAACACCTTGGTTCCCCATTACTTTAGAGAGCCATGATAAACGATCTTTAGAGAAGAAACTATAGTTCTTAATCTATGTGATGTAATTCTACAAATATCACCCCCCCCAAACTTAACAGTTTAAAAGCTACAGGAATTAATACATGGATATTTAGAATTCAACACAATGAAGGCTAAATAAAGGAAATCAACCTGAGTGTAAATTGTTTTGTATAAGAATGAAGTGTGTTAACAGGTTTTATGCAGAGATCAATTTTTCCTTTGATGAGCTTTCTGAAACTAGATACTGTAATTTTGTAATGATCTGGCCTGTTCCACCAAGAGTCTCACTGAAAAAGTGCATGATCTCGTCCCTCCCCACCAGTCCCAGTAAACCTCTGTTTGTCATTAGTTTAAGTATCTATTAACTTGCTCACCTTCTTTCCTTTCTTTTTCTTCTTTTTTGACAGCTTATTTCCAAGTGTGAAGACTGGTTCTAAAGAGTCCACTATGTCCAGATCCCACACTTCAATAACGGGGGTCATGTTTCCCACCGCAATATAGTTTCCTACAGGAGGAAATGGTGTATTTATAATTCAAAACACCAAAACCTTATACATAGATTTGATCAGTAAATATTTGGTTACGGACGAGTCAAAGACAAAGTAAAAGAAAAAAAATTACTTAAAAAAACACAACACTGCAGAGTAATTGAGCAATGGCTTAGAGCAGTTTTTCTAACTTTCATTTGCACACACATCACCTGAATGTTGTTAAAATGCAGATTCTATTCAGGAGGTCCTGGTGTGGTCCCACCTCTGCATTTCTAACTAGCTCCCAGATGATGCCATAATGTGCAGCTAGGTTCCTGGGCCACAAGGGCTGTCTCTTGGCTCCAGGATCCTCACTTAGCTAATGAGAACACAAACCCCATCTGCCTTCATGGACTGTTGTGAGGATGAGGATCTGATCAGATCAGGAATGTGGACAGCCTTGTAAATGAGATGTAAGTTTATGAGTATTATCAGACTTGACCCTTATTAAGAAGAAAAAAGATGGGGCAACCAGTAGTGTGCAGCTTTGGTTGAAAAGGCTAACATGAGAACCTGGTTCTCAGTTCTTTATTAACATCTGGTGTTTCCTGAAAACGGTCCTGCCCCTGAACACTATCTGATAACATCAGACACACCATGACATTTTATACTGGGTTTATGAGACCATCACATAGTACTGCAGCCCAAAAGGCTTCCAGGCCCTTGCTGGTGCCTATCTAAAGTATAGGGACATACAGACCCAAACCAATTGTGTGATTGTGTTTTAAGAATGATATAACAACTGCATAAAACAATAATTCTGCAAACATTCACACAGAACACCTAACTTATGTGGCTAGGAAAATCACACGGGACTAGGAACCACTGTGCAATCTTCAGTTTTCTAATTACCAGTAGAATCGTCTGGGCTAGGATCAAAATTCAGCCATTCCACACTCAGCGGGTATGCAGACAGCAGTATATCGTGGTGTACATAAAAAGAATCTTCTTCTTGATTATAAACTGCAAAGATTAGGAAAACACTTTATTTTATCAGAATAAAAAATCACATCCAACTCAAAAGAACAGACTCTTCCTATGAAACCTGGAGGTACCACATGCTTAAAAGGAGACATATTAGATGACGTTAAAGGAGAGTCCCAAGTTGTTACTGCTAGACAAAATATTTGCATGTCTAATATGCCATCACCTGGTGTACCCCAAATGGGAACAAGAACACCAAGAGAGAACTGACATCTGCCAGAATATTCCATGTGCATGCTCACTAGCTAAAATGGCCCTATCTTTTGGTTCACCCATTACAGAAAAGAACCACTCACAAGGCCTCTATAAGGAGTAGTCACACACTATAGAACAACGTTTCAGCCAGCAGACCGCATATTCGATGGTAGTTCCATAAGACTATAATGGAGCTGAAAAATGCCTGTAGCCAAGTGACATCATAACTGTCATAACGCTGCAGTGCAATGCATTACTAACATGTTTGTGGTGGGGCTGGTGCAAACAAACCTATTGCACAGCCAGTCACATAAAAATACAGCGTACACATTATGTACAGTACATAATACTTGATAATAAATGACTATGTTACTGGTTTATGTACTTACTATACTATACTTTTTTATCATTACTTTATTGTGTACTCTATTAAAAAAACTTTACTGTAAAACATTATGCTGTGTTAATCCAGCAGCAGCTTCACGTATCTCGTGTTTACTGTGTCTCTTAACTGCACCACTTCCTCTTGTGCTTGATTTGACTTAATGTTGTTTTGTCCAGTCACATGTTGTACGGGCTTGCAGCCTGGGAGCAACAGGCTACACCATATAGCCTAAGTGTGCAGTAGGCTATACATCTAGGTTTGTGAAGTGCACTGTGATGTTTGCACAATGACAAACTTGTCTAATGATGCATTTCTCAGAATGCATGCCCCTCATAAGCAGAGCATGACTGTAATTGTTATTTTATCTTTTAAGGTCTATTTGGTTATAAGTCAAGAAGAAAAAAACAGCACTGAAAAGGAACAACTTGTTTAGAAATCTAAACGCTTGGCAAAATTACTTCTTTAATATGGGAAAATGTTTATGAAGACCAACAATGTAAATAAAGCTCCTGAGAACACTTTTTGGAAATAGGGCAACTGTAAGACTTAGCTCCTCCATTCATTTATAACGTTAAGTAACAAAAACACTGTTAGACTCAATGACTAAGAAGTCGAAACACTGATAAACTAGAGCCCAAATAGTCAGAGATTTTCCCCAAACATGCTTTTTGTTAGAAGAAATGTTAGTATTATAACCTGAAGATTGTAATCCCTCAGCCCCCCGCTTCTGGGAGAGATCCTGGGACCAGCCGCTCCCATGGCTGGTCTGTCGCATCACAGGATGAGAAAGTGTGTTCAAAGTGACCAGCCTGTGGTTCTGCAAGAACCTCAGCTCTGGTCAATGTATTCAGCCCACATTTCAAATAAAAACAATGAAGATGATTTAAAATATTCTCCTAATTTTAACCATATCAGATCAACATTCAGATCAGGTTTAGAATGCAATTTTGAAAATATTCTTGAATAGAGATTGCTGGATAATTTGGGGCTTCACACCAAATCCAAAGAAATATATCTTTAATAACCTAATTTAGAAAGAAGTAGGAATACAATTTGTTTGATTTTCTCAACTCCTCTCTGATACTCAAAGGAATGACCACAATAAGTTCGCACATGAATGTATAAAAATCACTGATGACAAATTATGATAGTTTTTTTTTTTACAAAGAAGAATTGGATTTATTTAAAGAAAAAGGGGGTGGGGACATCCAAAGGGAAGGGCTACACATCACCGAGCCATGGGGTACTGGGTTGGTGATGGCAGCCTAGTTTTAATTTTTTGAAATCAGAATTGGTCTTTTAAAAATTTCACCAACATGGTTTTCACATGAAATACATAAGAAGTTCGAAGATAATTAGAATAACTTCATGTTGAAATATCTGCAATTTAAAGCTTTTCTGATTTTATAAATAGATCACAATGGGCCATGGGATAAAAACAGCCTCTTCAATAGACTTCCTATATGCAGCCTTTAAAGACTGTGAAGACTTACAGAAATTCAACCTAATAAATAGAATAAATGACAAAGTAACCTAGAAGATGCCAATAAACATTAAATGTAAAGGTTTTAATTTTCAAACTGTGCAACTGTGCTTCCTCTCAAAGGCCTTAGCATAGTAAACTCATTAAAACGTCACAGTTTTGAGACATGAATAGAAGACCGCGGGGAGGAGAGTATGTGGGCGAGGATGGGCCTGTCTGAGGGTGTGTGCACAGAGAAACAAAGGGCAAGAAAACAGCCGTTCAATTAATGTTTGTTGATTAATAAATATCAACATTAAAGTATATGATTTAAAAATTCAAAGAAAAAAGAAAAACTCAAATCACTGCCTATGTCAGAGTCACAGTAGTCACCTCTGGCTTAGACACAAACATTCCCTAAACTAGAAAATGTGACCAAGATGCTTTGGTTCCTAAAGGAAAATGTAGGCTTCTGTGTAGAATTGTTATGAAGAAAATAAAATGTATTGCTGAAGGGGAAACATTTGAAATGAGTCTGAAAAAAAAAAAGAGCAGGATAAAAACCTGTCTGTTGAGCATACTCTTTGCCACATAAAGAAAATGCAGCCAGAAAGGAGACTGGAGTAAAAAGCCAGGGCAACAAGTTACCTGTGGGTGATGGGATCATATTTTTCTCTTGTGTTTCTGTATAGTGTTACATCCAGGTTTTCTCCAACAGGGGGAAAGTGAAAGATGAAAAACCCTTGTTAAAACCTTCCATGAGACCTATTTCCATAGATTAAATAGGGTACCAGTGACACAGACTACACATGTCTAGGTATAATAACCAGGAAATCTGTAGACTGTATAGAATTTAACCATGTAACAAACTTCAATGAGTGAAGGCAGGATCTGACACCTAACCATTCATTATAGTAACTATTATGGTTATTATTTTAATATCCTATTATAGACTAGAATCTTTTAGTAAGGGCTGTTTTCACTCACCATGTACCTCTAAATTGCACTGGTCCTGTTCAGCTCTGCCACAAACTATGAGATTGTCACTAGGCTTAATCAAGAAATCCTCACGTTCATATTGCTCCTAAGCGGAGAGAGATAAAAGTCACTGACTAGAAGCAAATATTTGGTAAAGTTTTTCAAACTCTTACAGAGAAAAATTAGAAAAACCATGTAAATATTTACCGTATCTTTCAGAGTAACATATGGATCTTGATCATTACTCCCATAGACTGTAAGACCCAAGAGAGATTCACCAAGAGTTTCAGTATCTATAAGAATTCACAAATTGAAAGGAATAAAACAGTCATTTTGACAAAAGCATTTTTTCTAAGCCATCCTATCTTTAGACTTAGATCCCACCATCTCTTTCATAACTACCTATGGATCATTCATAGTTGGGAAAGGAAATAGTGGATAATGATAAATAGGAATTTAAAAGCCATTTATATTTGACATTGGAATCCATATCTGATAGACTTGGAATTTATAATCTTCCAATAAAAGAATTAAAAAAAAATGTGAAATTCCCTTAGAAGACATCTGAATTCTGCTCAGATTCTCTAGTTTGCTCCTTGTAATCATCATTCGAAAGTGCTACAAAAAGGTGGCCTTGAAGTCCTGGAAATAAAATGATCTTGAAACACTGGCATCAACACGGAGTAAGTAACAGCTCCCTGGTCAAATAAAATAGAAAAATGATGGGTTTCACAAAGTTAAATAGGCTTTCTTTTTCTTTTTTATCCTTACCTGAGGGCATTTTTTCGTTTTTTTGTTCAGATAAAGTGGGAGGGAGAGAGAGGAAGAGAGAGAGAAACATCGACGTGAAAGGGACACATCGAGTGGCTGCCACCCGCACGACCCAACCAGGGCCGGGGACAAACTGCAACTGAGGTACATGCCCTTAGCGGGAACCGAACCCGGGTCTCTCTGGACCGCCAGGCAACACTCTAACCGCTGAGCCAAACCAGCCAGGGCTAAATAGGTTTTCTTATTGTAAGATTTCTCAGAACCTCTGATATGCTAATTTGCCATATGACTCTGAAAGAGGGATTATTATATCCTTTTACACTAAACTCAAACCCTTCTGCAAGGGTGACATAGAGTTGACCCCAAGTAACATGAAACTCAGGAAAAGGAAGATACTTTTAACTGTCAGGGGAAACTACTTTAGGGAGGTAGGACTAATAAGTCCTAAAGATCTGATAGGAAACAGACACGGGAATTTCTTCTGGGCGAGAAAGACAGGAACAATGATCTGCAGGGTGTGGAGAATGGTAAGGAGCCTTTTTGGATGCCATCTCCTGAGGATGGGTTCTCTTCCTCTCTCTGTATTCCCACGCACTCTGTCCTAGCAGGATAGTAACAACCCAGAGTCCAGTGGAAAAACTACCCTCTGCATCCACTGAAGTATACAGTCGGTCCTTAATTTCAGATGGTTTGACTTACAATTTTTCAACCTTCTGATGGTACAAAAGTGATACACATCCACTAGAAATGGGCTAGGCTAAACTACAATGTTTGGCAGGTGTATTAAATGCATTTGCTAATTAAAATAGCTTCAACTTACTATGGGTTTATCAAGACATAGCCCTATCGTAGGTTGAGGGGCATCTGTACTAAAAAGAATGAAGGCTTCAGAAACAAATAATGTTCAAATCTAGCCCCATTATACACCACTTGGGTGACAATGAAAAATTATTTCATCTTTGTAAGCCTGTTTTCCATAAAATGGAGGTAATAATTCCTCTCATTGTAGCTAAAGAAAAAATGTGTTACAGGTTAATACCCACTAGTTGTAATAAAATAAAATATACAATATTAATTTTTGTTTTCAGATCTTATTAGGGGGCTAGAGCTTATGTTCTAAACTAACTTAGGAAACATACTATCTTCCTAATCCTAGAGCCAGATTATGTGACTGATATAAAAACCAACACGCCCAGCTGGTGTGGCTCAGTGGCTGGGCATCGACCCATGCACCAAGAGGTCCCGTTTCGGTTCCCGGTCAGGGCACTGCGAATGGTTGTGGGTTGGGTCCCCAGTCGGGGTAATTTTTACAACATGCAATATCTGCCCTGGCCGGTTTGGCTCAGCGGTTAGAGCGTCGGCCTGCGGTCCGGAGAGACCTGGGTTCGGTTCCCGCTAAGGGCATGTACCTCGGTTGCAGTTTGTCCCCGGCCCTGGTTGGTCGTGCAGGTGGCAGCCACTCGATGTGTCCCTTTCACATCGATGTTTCTCTCTCTCTCTCTCTCTCCCTCCTGCTCTATCTGAACAAAGAATGAAAAAGTGTCCTCGGGTGAGGATAAAAAAAAAACAAACAAAAAAAAACATGCAATATCTGACTGTTTAGTCAGGGGCACTGACCTCTTTTCCCTTAGACTGCCAAATAAAATGACAACAGCCAACACAACAATAGCTATCTGGTGTGAATGAATCAAAATTATACCTTTTTTTGGTCAGACTGGCAAAAAATTTATTTTTTGGTGCGCTGCACTTTTGTAATTAGTTTGTGTGTGCCATGAGATGAAAAAGTTGAAAATCACTGATCTAACACGCTGAATTTGTGATTAGATACCAGTATAAGTGAATGACTGCTAACCTGGGTTGCCTTCCTCATCGTATTTATCTAACTCGTACTCGGCCAGCTCGTCATCACCCAGTGTCCTATCATCCTCTGGGTCACCATCCTCCAGGGGCTCCCTGGGTCTTGCCTGAGTGCGTGCACTCTGCATGCCATCTTCTGAAGGATCACCTGTCTCCTCTTCATCACTGCCACCTTCTTCTCTATGCCGATGAAAAAAGAAAATCACCCCAATGGCACTTTTCAATAACAAGACCACTTTGTCATCATTAGTTAAGATTTACATTTCTTCTGGACTTTACCACAAACATCAACATGCCTAAACTTACTGTAATTTTTCCTTTGCTTCAGCAATGAGACGTTTTACTTCTTCTTTACTAAGCTCTACCTACAAGAGAACAAACATTTCATTACAATATAGTTAAAGAAGTCATTGTAAGTCTTTGAATTTAAAAGAAGTTTGCAAAAGGACTGCTGTAAATAAAAGAAATAGGAAGAAAAATAGAACCACACTAAACAAAAATGGCAACAAATAAGTACATATCAATTATCACCTTAAATGTGAATGGTTTGAATGCTCTGATAAAGACACAGAATAGATGACAGACAAGAAAGTATGGCTAACATATATGTTGTTTACAAGAGACCCACCTCACAACAAAGACTCACATAGGCTGAAAGTGAAAGGGTGGAAAAAAATCTTCCAAGCAAACGGAAAGCAAAAAAAAGCTGGGTTAGCAATACTCATATCTGATAAAGCAGATTTCAAACTGAAGGCCATAACTAGAGACAAAGAAGACCACTACATAATATTGAAAGGATCTATCCAACAGAAAGATATAACCTTGGTAAATATATATGCACCCAATTTAGGAGCACCAACATATATTAAAAATCTTCTGGAGGACTTCAAAGGAGACATCAACAGCAATACAATCATAGCAGGGGACTTCAACACCCCACTGACATCACTGGATAGATCTTCTAGACAAAAAATTAACAAGGAAACACAGACTCTAAATGAAGCACTAGATCAAATGGATTTAACAGAGACTTATACCCCAAAACCACAGAATTCACATTCTTCTCAAGTGCACATGGGACATTCTCAAAGACAGACCACAAGTTAGGGCACAAACTAAGTCTCTACAAGTTCAAGAAGACTGAAATCATATCAAGCATCATCTCAGATCATAATGGCATGCAACTAGAAATCAATTGCAACAAGAACATGCAAAAACATTTGGAAACATGGAGGCTAAATAGCATGTTGTTGAACAACAAATGGGTTACCAGGGAGATTAAGGAAGAAATTAAACACTTCCTGGAAACCAGTGAAAATGAACACACAACAACACAAAATCTATGGGATGCAGTGAAAGCAGTTCTGAGAGGAAAGTTCATAGCACTACAGGCCTACCTCAAGAAGCAAGAAAAATTTCTAATAGACTATCTAACCTCACAACTTAAAGAACTAGAAAGCAAACAGAAATAAAAACCCAGAGCAAGTAAAAGGAAGGAAATAGTAAAGATCAGAGCAGAAATAAATGACATGGACACCAAAAAAACAAACAAACAATTCAAAGGATCAATGAAACAAAGACCTGGTTCTTTGAAAAGATAAACAAGATTGATGGATCCTTAGCTAGACTCACCAACAAACAAAGAGAGAGAACCCAAATACATAAAATCAGAAGTGAAAGAGGAGAAATAATAACCGACACCACAGAAATACAAAGGACTGTTAACAGATATTATGAACAATTATATGGCAACAAATTCGACAATCTAAGCGAAATGGACAAATTTCTAGAAACACATAGCCTCCCAAAACTGAACTGTGAAGAGATAGAAAACTTGAACAGACCAATAACAACAGAAGAAATTGAAGATGTAATCAAGGCTCTCCCAGCAAACAAAAGCCCAGGCCCGGATGGCTTCATGGGGGAATTTTACTGAACATTCAAAGAAGAACTAATACCCATTCTCCTCAAACTATTTCAAAAAATTCAAGAAGAAGGAAGACTTCCAAACTCGTTTTATGAGGCCAGCATAATTCTAATTCCAAAACCAGAAAAAGACACTACAAAGAAAACTACAGACCAATATCCCTGATGAACATAGATGCCAAAATCCTAAACAATATACTAGCAAATCAAATCCAGCAATACATCAAAAAAATTGTTCACCATGACCAAGTGGGATTCATCCCAGGGATGCAAGATTGATACAATATTCGCAAATCAATAAATGTGATACACCACATAAACAAAATGAAAGATAAAAACCACACGATCATATCAATAGATGCTGAAAAAGCATGTGACAGAGTCCAGCACCCATTTCTGATAAAAACGCTCAGCAATGTGGGAATAGAGGGATCATATCTCGACATAATAAAGGCCATATATGAAAGATCTACAGCCAACATCATATTCAATGGGCAAAAACTAAAAGTATTTCACTTAAGAACAGGAACAATACAGGGATGCCCACTTTTGCCACTCTTACTTAACATAGTACTGGAAGTCTTAGCCACAGCAATCAGGCAGGAAGAAAAAATAAAAGGGATCCAAATGGGAAAGGAGGAAGTGAAACTGTCGTTATTTGCAGATGACATGATACTATACGTAGAAAACCCAAAGACTCCATCAAAAATTTACTAGACTTAGTAAATGAATATGGCAAAGTAGCAGGATACAAAATTAATGTCAAGAAATCGATGGCATTCTTATACACCAATGATGAACTCACAGAAAGAGAAACTGAGAAAAAAAAAAAACAATCCCATTTATCATCGCGACAAAAATATTAAGATACTTAGGAATAAATTTAACCAAAGAAATAAAGGACCTATTTGCAGAAAACTACAGGTCATTGAAAAAAGAAATAGAGGACAATATAAAAAAGTGGAAGCACATACCTTGTTCGTGGATTGGAAGAATTAACATCATTAAAATGTCCAAATTACCCAAAGCAATCTATAGATTCAATGCAATCCCCATCAAAATACCAATGGCATACTTCACAGAATTAGAACAAGTACTTCAAAAGTTCATATGGAACCAAAAAGACCTCGAATAGCCACAGAAATCTTGAAAAAAATGAACAAAGTTGGAGGGATCACATTACCAGATTTCAGGTTATACTACAAAGCCACTGTAATCAAAACAGCCCGGTACTGGCACAAGAACAGGCATATAGACCAGTGGAACAGAACAGAAAACCCAGAAATGGACCCAAGGCTATATGCTCAATTAATATTTGACAAAGGTGACAAGAGCATACAGTGGAGTAAAGACAGCCTCTTTAATAAATGGTGTTGGGAAAATTGGACAGCTACATGCAAAAAAATAAAACTAGAACATCAACTTATATCATACACAAGAATAAACTCAAAATGGATAAAAGACTCAAATGTGACTCATGAATCCATAAAAATCCTAGAAGAAACTGTAGGCAACAAAATTTCAGATATCATACACAGCAGAATTTTCACTGATACATCACCTAAGGCAACAGAAACAAAGGAGAAAATAAACACATGGGACTACATCAAACTCAAAAGCTTCTGCACAGCAAAAGATACAGTCATCAAAATGGAAAGGCAACTGACTGTATGGGAGAGCATAATTGCCAATGATATATCAGATAAGGGATTAATTTCCAATGTATAGAGAGTGCTCATACAACTCAACAAAAGGAAAACAAAGAACCCAATTAAAAAATGGGCAGAGGACTGAAAGAGACACCTCTTCAAACAGGACATACAAATGGCTAAGAGACCTATGAAGAAATGCTCAACATCACTAATCATCAGAGAGATGCAAATTAAAACAACAATGAGGTATCACCTCACATCTGTCAGAATGGCCACCATCAACAAATCATCAAACAACAAGTGTTGGTGAGGGTGTGGAGAAAAGGGGACTCTAATACACTGCTGGTGGGAATGCAGACTGGTGCAGCCACTATGAAAAACACTATGGTGTTACCTCAAAAAATTAAAAATTGAACTTCCATTTGACCCAGTGAACCCACTTCTAGGAATATACCCTAAGAAGCCTGAAACACCAATCAGAAAGAATATATGGCCCTGGCCAGTTTGGCTCAGCGGTTAGAACGTCAGCCTGTGGTCCACAGAGACCCAGGTTCTGTTCCCGCTAAGGGCATGTACCTTGGCTGCAGTTTGTCCCTGGCCCTGGTTGGGTTGTGCAGGTGGCGGCCACTTGATGTGTCCCTTTCACATCGATGTTTCTTTCTCTCTCTTCCTCTCTCTCCCTCCCGCTCTATCTGAATAAAAAATGGAAAAATGTCCTCGGGTGAGGATAAAAAAAAAAAAAAGCAATATATGTACCCCCATGTTCATAGCAGCACTATTTACAATAGCTAAGATCTGGAAACAGCCCAAATGTCCACCAGTAGATGAATGGATAAAAAAGCTGTGGTACATATACACAATGGAGTATATGCAGCTGTAAGAAAGAAAGATCTCTTATCCTTTGAAACAATATGGAGGGACCAGGAAAGTATTATCCTAAGCAAAACAAGCCAAACAGAGAAAGACTAGTATCATATGATCTCACTTATTTGTGGAATATAATGAACATAACAGTCTGAGGAATGGGGTAGTCCCAGAGATGTGGAAGTGGGGTACAGACTGACAATCCCCAGAAGAGGGGGTGGTGGGGGAGAGATAAACCACAGAACTTATATGCATATATGCAAACTAATGTAAAATACAACTTTGAGAGAAAGAATCAATCAGTCCAGACTCTAAATTAACATAATTGGAGTTTTCACAGGTCCTTATAATTAAGATCCCTTCCCACCTAAAGTTGTTTAAAAATCACCTTTAGCTCTCTTCAGTCTTTCCAAAAAGACTGACTTGTATAAACTGACTTCTATAGTAGCCCACCTCATTTTCTTCTAATCACTCTGACTCCTTCTTGGCCCCCTCTCTCCAGTTCCCCCTGCGGATATTCCTACACAAACCACTCTTGCCTGGGTCCTCTGCTCTTTTGCCTGTTATCACCAGCAAGTATTCACTCACCATGCTATAAGTTCCTTGCAAAGCTCATTCATTCTCAAGACTAAAACTATCACCCCTGAACTGATCACTCTACACTCTCCCTTCTCTAGCCCTAAACTCCAGTTTTACTTTCCCAATGGCCTATAACACTCTCCATTTGGATATCCTGTTCAAAACATAGTTCAGTGCTTAGCCCAAGGTAGGGATGCTGGATGACAGATGAATGAATGAATCATCCAGTTTATACCAAAATGCCTCCAGTAATGTGGAAATCCTCTTGAGGTGTGACACTCTATTGTTGGATAGCTCCAGAAATTAAAGATTTTTAATTTAATTAAGCAATACTTATTTTTCTAATTTCTCTTAATGGTCTGAGTTTTCCTTTCAGGTATGTTTGTAGAATAAATTCAATCTTTTCTTTCTATAAACTCTTCAAGCAATGGTTCCCAAACTTTTCTGCACATTAGAATCACGTGAGGAATCTTTTAATAATTTCAGGCTATACTCCAGACCAATTAAATCACAAGAGTAGGGAGCAGGGCACAGACATCAGTATTACAAGCTCCCCAAGTGACTACAATCTGTAGACATGGTTGGAAATTCCTGTCTTCAAGTATCTGAAAGGATATATGTCCCTTTTTAATAATAACTGTTAGTTCCCTCAACAATTTTTTTAAAGTTATTGATTTGAGAAAGAGAGAAAGTGCTAAACACTGATTTTTTTTTTTTTTTGGTTGTTGTTCCACTTAGTTGTGCATTCATTGGTTAATTCTTGTATGTGCCCTGACCAGAGATCAAACCTGCAACCTCAGAGTACGCTCAAACCAACTGAGCTACCTGTCCAGGGCTCCCTCAATAATTAAAAAAAAATGTTTTTCTTTATTGAGAGAGATAGAAACATCAATGAGAGAGAACATCAACTGGTGGCCTCCAGCATGCCCCCCACTGGGGTTTCGGCCCACAACCTGGGCATGTGCCCTGACTGGGAATCAAACTGGCAACTGGCAACCTCTTGGCCACACTGGCCAGGTTCCCTCAATAATTTTTAATGAGATAATTTCCTGTCCCTATTCTAAACATATGCACTGAGTGTCTACTGTGAGCCAAACACCAAAGAAACTGGTGAATAAAACAGTCTGTGTCCTGAGGAATTTACATCCATTGAGGCTACTCCAATCCCTCATTACTGTTAATTTCACGTCTCAACCACTTACATTTCTATCACTTTTCTTTTCTTTTTTATATCCTCACCCGAGGACATTTTTGCATTTATCTTCAGATAGAGCGGGAGGAAGACAGGGAGAGAGAGAGAGAGATAGAAACATCCATGTGAAAGAGACACATCCAATGATTGCAACCCATACGACCCCAACCAGGGTGGGGGACAAACCAACCGAGGTAGGTGCCCTTAGTGGAAACCTAATCGGAGACTCTGTGGTCCGGGGGCCACACTCGAACGGCTGAGCCAGACCGGCCAGGGCCATTTCTATCACTTTTCTAATCTCGGCCATCACTGGCCCAGTTACATTCAAATGAGGCCCCTAGCCCCACTTCTTTCATAACATTTATTCCCACTGACATATTATATATACAGGCAGGGAGTTTTTGTTTTGCCTATTCCAGGACCCTGAAAATGCCTGGCACACAGAAGGCACCTAGTAAGTACCTGCTGAATATCTTAAGTACTCCTCATCTTTGCTACAGACCCAGCCCCTAACTCCTGCAGGTTTTTCCTTCATGTGTCACCCACCTCTCATCCCCACTGCCACTTCAACGTCTCACTTGAATTACTGCAAGACATTCCTGACTTATCTCCCAGCCTCACGACATGCAGTCGCCACGCCAGCTTTTCTATACCATAGCTTTCATCCTGTTTACTCCTTCCGAAGGCCGAGCACAGGAGTGGAAAGCGGAGTTCACAGAGGTGCTCCTGATTCCCGTTACCCTGAAAACGCATCGGGGTGTGGCTGAAGCTGTGGTGTTGTCAAGAAGGCTTTTGCTGGGGGTGAGGGTTCTGACTCAGAGGAAAAACCTGCCCTCTTCCAGCCCAGGAGGTCCATGGGTGCGCGAATCTGGGGGTAGGGTTTACGGGGCGGGGGGGACCATGAGGGGGTGCAGTCCCAGGCTCCCCAGGTGTTCGGAGCCGCAGCCCTAATCACAACACTCAGGCCCAAACCGACTTCACCCCGCCCAGTCATAACAGCCAGACCAGGGCCGCGTGTCCCGGGTCTAGGTTCCCCAGCTAACCGAGGACGCTGCAAAGAGGTCGCTCCCACTACCTGTGAACGACCAGGCCTCACCTTGTCTGGCGTCTCTTTGGCCACGCCGCAGCGGACCCAGGCCACGCACGTCACCTGGCGGCTGCGGTTCATGGTCCTAGCCTCGGGGACGCTTCACGCTGACGCTCGCTTCCAGCCGGACTGGGACCCTCGCGGCCCTCTGGCTGCCACGCTCCGGGACAAGCCCTCGGACGCTGTTCCAGCGGAGCGCATGCGCAGGCACTGTTTCCGGCGCCGGCGTCCGCTTCTGACGTCATTCGAAGGCGCCGAGTGGGAAAGGGGTGGGCCCAAGGTTAGAAGCGGAAGCAGCCGAGCGAGGAATCCACGTGTGGTCGACTGGGCGGTTTTGGACCGACAGGAATGGGCTTTTCAGCACTGTGACGATGTCTACAAGCTTTGTGGAGGCAGCAGATAAAATCGGAACCTCAGTTGTCAGAGGCAAATTTCTACTCATATTTATTTTGCCCGCAGTTGCATAGACTTCAAGCTGATAAATGGTAGAGGTTTGTGAGGGTGTGTTGTTTTTAAAGCTTTCTCTCAATGTATTTGTCATTTCAAGAAGGTACTTCTGTCGCTGTATTTCATTACATTCTTGGATGTTACTTTTGCACCTTAAAACACTTAGCACCTATTATATAGGAAAATGTACAGTAGGGGTTAGCAGCAGCAAAGTGCTTGTAATGTGCAAGACACTGTTATAAGTGCCTCGTGTTTTTATAATTTTAATTTTTATCATTTCATTTTATTATTATTTTTTAATGTTTTTATTGATTTTTTTTAGAGAGAGAGGAAGGAAGAGAGAGAGAGAAACATGGGCTGCCTCCTGCACGCCCCGTACTGGGGATACAGCCACAACCCAGGCATGTGTCCTGACTGGAATCCAAGTGCAGCCTTTCAGAGCACAAGCATATTCCAACCAGCTGAGCCACACCGACCGGGGCTAAGTGCCTTATATTAACTGGGTTACTTCTTACCCGTGTGTGAGAAGTCTTATTCCCATTTTACACACGGTGACACATTAATTGCCTTTCTCAAGGTCACACAGTTAGTGAGTGTTGTAGCTAGGATATAAACCCAGGTACTGTTACTCCAGATGTTGGCTATAATCTGTGTTATGCTTATCAGCTAAAGTCAGAGTCATTTATGAGATATATACCAAAGAACTTATACGCATGGATGTGTAACTAATGGACATAGACAACAGTGCTTGGGGGGAGGGGAGAGGTGGGATGGGGAGGATGGTGTCTAGGGGGAAGAAAGGAGAAACAACTGTAACAAAAATAAATTAATAAAATTTGAAAAAAAAGTTAGAGTCATCTATTAAAAATATTAGTGGCATCCTAGAAAGATAATGGATTTTGATCTCTTTGTGTAACCCTGTCCAGGTCATTTGCCCTCTCTGAGTTCCATCTGCCTCTCCTACCTCTTGAGATAGGCAAGCAAAAACAGGAGAGTGGTTGCTATAGGGAAAGAGTGGTGGCAACACTATATTGGCAGGACATGATCTTTCCCAGTTGTATTGCCAAAGTGAGCTGTCCACCTGTGTGGTCAGTTTGTGGACATTTTTGCAACAAATTTGTCTTCACATAGAATATTTACTTGGTTCTCGAAACAACACTGATGAAACATGATCAAGAATTACCTCCTTAAACATGAGGAAGTTATAGGTCCCAGTGGTGAAAAGCCTTACTACCTGAAATCACACACAAAGGTAGGAACTGAGAACTACAACTAAACACCAACTTGCTACACAGCCTAATGCCCCTGACACAACCAGCCTAAAGAGCGAACATCTCAGGAGTGAATTGCTAATTTTTTGGTAAAGCAGACTATGTTTATTAGGGCCTCTTCTGGTGCTCTGTTTCTCTCAACTGATTTTGTGGTTTGTTTGCTTTTGGTCCATTTAGTACAGTGGTAGGGTAGATTGCATTTTTCAGAAATGGCTGCAACAAGATCTTTCTTCACACATGTTTTTCTACAATGTGATCTTGATACTTCCCCCTCAAAACAAGGAGTCTAGCCCTTGCCAGTTTGGCTCAGCGGTTAGAGCATTGGCCTGCGGTCGGGAGAGACCCGGGTTTGGTTCCCGCTAAGGGCGTGTACCTCAGTTGCACTTTGTCCCCGGCCCTGGTTGGTTGTGCGGGTGGCAGCCACTTGATGTGTCCCTTTCGCGTCGATGTTTCTCTCTCTCTCTCTCCCTCCCTCCCGCTCTATCTGAACAAAAAATGGAGAATGTCCTCGGTTGAGAATAAAAAAAACAAAACAAACGAGTCTAGTTCTACCCACCCCTCAACCTTGAATCTAGATAGGTTTATGACTAATTTGACCAATAGTATATGGCAGAAGTGACCCCCTCTCCCAATGTTAGGTCATAAATGGGATGCAGGTTTTACCCCCCCTTTTTTCTTATACATTCATATTTGGACCTCTGAGTTGCTATATAAAAAGTTGGACTACCCTGAGGCCACTATGCTATGAGGAAGCCATACCATGTGGAGGGGCCCTGTGTGGGTGCTCCAGTAGACAATCCTAGATTTTGAGTCAACCCAGACTTGTATGTGAACGTGCCTTCAGATGATTTCAGCACCCTGACACTGATTCATGCCAGCCTTCGAGTTTTCCCGAGGCCCACACACCATGGAACAGATGAACCATCCCCACTGTGCTCTGCCCAAAGTTCTGACCCCCAGAATCTGTGAGTTTAGTTAAGTGGTTGTTTCAAACCATTAAGTTTTTTATCCTTCCATAATTTTTTAGTATTGAAAAATATACATAACATAAAATTTACCATTTTAGTCATTTTTAAGTGTATATAATTCAATGGTATTAAGTACCAAACCACTAAGTTTTGAGGGTTTTTTTTTTAGTAGTATATATATTTTTATTAATTTTTTTTTTTAAGAGAAGAGAAAGGGAGAGAGAGATAGAAACATCCATGTGAGAGAGAAACAGGGATTGGCTGCCTCATGCACGCCCCATCCTGGGGATCAGCCTGCAACCCCAGGGCGTGTGTCTTGACAGGAATCAAACTGAATCAGTCCGTGGAGTGATGCTCAATCCACTGAGCCACACAGGCTGGGCTTGAGGTCATTTTTGTATGCAGTAATAATAAATGGAACAGGCAAGAACCCATGCTATATTTAGAATAGAGCACATAAGCTGATTTATTGGTAGAGGCTAATTTATTAGCATCTGGATGGGCTTAGCAGGTGTGTGCACCTGGTATACGGGAGTGGGCTCGAGTTTGAGAATTTGCCTCTGGATCTGTCCCCTCTTGAGCTGCTCTCTAATGAGCCAGCTGCTGTTTTATGATGGTGCCTATGATACATATTTGTTAAATGGATGAATAAATTAAATAATAGAAGGTGGAATAGGACTCTGGTTATTTAGGACCTGCTAAATTTACATTCTTTTACTGGGCTTATATCTGACATTCTGCCACTTCAGCCCAACCTGTGAATTCCCTTTAAAAAATGAAAAATCCAACTGCAGTTGACATTGTTATTTCCTTATAACAAGAATGGAAAGAGATTGAGTTTTAATTCCATTTCTAAGCCTGATTCTTGGGAACACTGATGAGCATATTTGACTCAGAAAAGTGCCTTTGCCAGAGGCCAGAAAAAGTGTACTTGGTAACATGTTAGCTATTCTTAGAGCTAAAGGTCCCAGAGGATTGGACCCAGGTCCATGCCCGGCTCTTGTTACACCCTTTATCTCAGTGCTGCATATAATTAGGCTCATACGCATTTTTTCTGAGTAGTCTTGAGCACTGGGAAGGAAGTGAAGCCTGTGATACCCCCATCCCTCATTATACTCTGTTTCTTTCCCCTCCTCCAGGTGGCCCTATATGGTTAGCGGATAAGGCCTTGAAGGAATAATAATAGCTACTAGTTACCAAGAGCTAGAGACCACAGATTTTACAGTGATAAAAATCAGGTGTCCTCAGATGAAACTTCACTTTTCTAGAACTGAACTTCATTTCCATTTTCATGAGAACAGGAACCAAAAGGGTTTTGTTACCACAGCAGAGCCAACAACCTAGCACGGTGCCTAGCACAGTAAATGCCAATAAATATTTGTTGTATAAGTGAGTGATATCAGAATTCTAAAGTGAAGTCCAGAGACACGAAGCAGTGAGCCCAGCGTCAAACAGTAAAGAGCAAAGTGTTGTCTGAGTCCTTGCACAGAACCCTTTCCCCTGTGGCACGGTTTTCAGGTGGGTCCATTCATTCGTTTCCGTCAGCGCTCCTTTGGGTGCAGTTGACAGACAACCCAACTCTAACTGCTTTAGGTAAAATTAGGGGATTGATATGCTGAGAGGACTCAAGAGTCCTGTGACATAAATGGCTTCAGACACAGCTGGATCCAGGAGCTTAAGTTATGTCACTAGGACTAGACCTCGCTTACTTCTTGCAGCCTAGAATGAAAGCCCTTTGTCCTCAGCTCTGTCTCATGTTTCCTCCGATCTGGAATGGTCACCTGCCCCTTCCTGAGCCAGTCACTGTGGTCAGGGGAAAGGGGCGTTTTGCTGGCTCGGTCTGGCCCACGTGTCCAGCTCTGGAACCAGGGAGGGAATTAGTTCTTACGTGGAGCACATGAGTGAGAAGGGGGAAGGGAGCGGGTTCTCTAGAGAAAAAGGGGTGCTGCTGCCGGGAGTGGGCTGGCGAGAACTGTTGCTCATGACGTTCATCAGGCATCTTCTCTGCCCTCTTGGTGCAGAGGTGCATTTGGGAAACGGCTACAAAGGTGAATACGACACAGCCCTTCCCCGCCGAGGAGTTTATGCGGCAGTGCGTAGTCAAGGGAAAGCGGAAGACGTGCAAGCAGGTGTGGGGGCAGCAACCTGATTGGTGACTCACTCACCCTGTTCACCTTCCGGTGGCGGGGTGACAGCGGAGGTTTCCGACCATTCAGCTTCCATCAGAAACCACGTGTCCGTAACCCCCTTCTCCGTGATGCCACCACTGTGACCACCTCTTAGAAAAACTCCTTTCCCCAGGTTCAAGGAGTAGTTTCTTGGCCCCCCTCACTTCTGGGTAACACTTCAGTGTTTCTCTTACAGTAAAACTTCAATCTTATAAGCTTTCCAACTCAAATTCTTCCATGATTTTCTGCTCCAATCTCTCTCCAGATGACCGGTCGTGTGGTACCGGGGTCACAGTCCCAGACATGAGGCTGGAGCAGTGTGAACAAGGAG